GAGCAGACACGGTCAAGTTTGTCAACGTTCCCATGGACGTCGTCTACAAGTACTACTTTCGAGCCAAGCGCAGTGTGGCGGGTTTGCCCACATCACAGCGCATGCAGTGGCTCCAGGCCAAAGATGTGGAAGAACGCAGTGAATGGGTGTCCAAATTCCGTGAATCCACAATGAGCTTGGGCCAAGTGATCAGCGAGGTCTATACATCCAGGGATGCACATTGGTCTGCACCAGGGCCAGCTACCCCGGATAAGAAGAGTGCAGCCCCCACCGCAGCTTCCACTGCAAGTCCATCTAAAGTACCGCCAAGTTCATCACCACTGAAGTTGGGAAAGCCGATCAACGGCAAACCTGTGGCGACGGCCATGAAAGATGGCACCAAACTTTGTCCACAATTTCAACGAGGAGGCTGCAAGGCCAAACCCTGTCCCCAAGGAGCCCACCGATGCGGAGCAGTTGTCAGGAAAGACCGGGTGTGTGGAGCCTTCAACCATGGTGCAGCCAACTGCACCGGCAAGCGTTGACACACCCCAGAAGAGGAGGCGGCTGCCTCTTTTGGGTCGAATGAGCTAGAGCCGCAAGAGGGGCGACCTCTTATGGCAGATCTCATGGCAGGTCCCAACGCACCCCTCACCAAAGCGTTCATCAGTTGTGGATGGCGATGCATAACAGTGGATTGGCTGCTGGATGACAGCCACGACCTCTCTGATGAGCGCCGGCAACATTCCTTGAGCAAGCAGCTTGAAGAGGTGATCTTCACAGCGGCAGCCATCGATTGCTCTACGAAGAGCAGGGCAAGGGAGATTCCCAGGAAGTTCGAGGATGGGCGGCCAGCCCCTGGCCCTCTTCGATCAGAGGTATATCCTGATGGCCTGCCCCACCTCAATAGCAGGGATGCTCAACGAGTCGACCTTGACAACAAGGCCTGCAACTACGTCTTGGGAGAGATTCAGAAGTTGCGGGATCGAGGGGGAGGCAGTGTGCGCGAAAACCCTGCCCGTTCCCTGCACTGGTGGACGTCCACTGAGGTGACTATGTGGGAATCGGGACAATGGTTCGACACAGCCTATGCGGCATGTACCTTAGGCGGGGCGCGTTGCAAACATCAAGTGTTACGACACAATGTGGAGGAAATTCAGCGCTGGCCCCCGGCCAATTGCCACCATGTGCACGACCCGCAAGAATGGACCCCCTACACATCTGGCGGCCAAAGGTTCTATCCATCTAAAGAAGAGGCGGAGTACACAGCAGTCCTTGCCTTTGCCATCGCAGTGTCGGCTAGCTGGTGGGCAGTCCGCACAGGTTTAGCCGTGCTGCATGTCCCACGCATGCCCACTTTCTTGTCACTTGGGCGTCGTGAGCATTGGCTGGATATGGACCCGCGCGCAATGCGGGAATGGGCAATGGCACCATTGGCAGTGACGCTGGGCCTCACAGAGTCCCTGCGAGCCGAACGGCCGGGGTTACCGGTCAGGAAGCTCGTCAAGGACGTTATGATCGAGAACAACCAACTGCCACGCAAGACCATTTACGTCGGCCGTGGCAGCTTCCATCATCGCCTGTCGACAACCAAGTGGAAATCTCCATGGACACCAGGCCACAACTGCGAGGCCGGTGAATGGCCAGCCAGGTACATTGTCCACATCCGGACATCACCCTTGTGGGATGCCTTGCATGAGCTCAGCGGCATGGTGTTGGCGTGCGACTGCCCCATGGAGCACTTGTGCGAAGCCGACATGCTCATCGGACTCTTCTTCGATGCAACTGCACCTGGGGGCGACCCGATGCAGAGAGGTACCGATGGCAGATGGAGCCGGACCGTGGCCTTGCTGCAGGGGATTCAGGCTATTCCCAAAGGTGTAGCCCTACCCATGATGAGCCAAGAAGCCCTGGTGTTAGCCTTCCAGAAGCTTTTCCCCGAGCAATGGTTCAAGAACTACAAGTTCGCGATGGTTGAAGACCTCATCAACAGCCCACCTTTCTGTTCCTACGCTGCTTGGCCAGCAGAGCGAGGAGAAGCTTGGGATGGCCCCCTAGTCCCGCACCTTGCTGCTGGGTCAGTGAGACAGCTTGCGCGGATTGGGGATGGGTGCCAAGTTGGCGCGATGACACACCGCGCAGCCTTGCCACCGCTGCTACCATTCAACTTGGACCCCGATGACCACTTCAACCAAGCAGTACAACGAGCCCAGCAACCATTGCCCTACGAAGATCTCCCAGTCGTTGACTTGGATCTGGAGTTCGTAGCTGATGCCTATGCAGCACATGGCCAACCATTGCGCCCGTGGCGACAGCATGCAGTAGGTGCCATGCGCGAGCTGAAGAGACGTTGGGAGGGGGTGACCCTCCACTTGCGGTCTTTTCAAGAGTCTGCCATACAGCAGGTTACACGGCATCGCGATGTGGGGTTCATCGCACTGTTGATGCTGCTGACATCATGGGCCGACACCAGTTTTCCCTATGGCCTGATCCGTGGTTTGCCAGCAGTGGGGTATGCACCACCCTATGGGATCTTCCCCCAACAACCGGCTGAGGTGATCAGCATGTCCGAAGTGCTAGATGGATGGCAAGAACACAACCAGCACATCTTAAACCAACTGAGAGCAGGTAAGGATGATGAGTTCCTCCTGCAACAGTCGTTGGAGGATGCAGCGAATGGCTTCTGCACAGCACCCTTGAGGCGGCCAGATTTCCTGCGGTCCATTGGCAACAAGGCACATAGATTGATTCCGCGTTGCGTGATCACACAAAGCTCTGGCAAGCAGCGAGTGATCGACAATGGTGACACTGGAGGACAATCAGCCTTGTCATCCGATGCCAACAAGCTCACATTGTGCAGCCCATTGCGCCCTGCCCAACACATTCGCCTGGCCATGCATCGTTGGACAGATGAAGAAATCTCAAACTTCTTTGCATGCGACGCCTGGGAGACAGGACAGGAAGATCTGCCTTCAGCATACCGGTATTGCCCTATGGCATTGCAGGAAAGCCTGGGATGCGTGGTGGTGTGGTACCATCACGAGTGGCAAACCCCAGCATACCAGATCTATGCTGGGCTGCTCTTTGGGCTTCCGCTAGCAGTTACTTCTTTTAACAGATTTTCCAGACTGTTGGAGGCGCTAGCCAGGCGTTTTTGCCGAGTCTTGACATCCCTGTACTTTGATGACGCAACCATCACAGACTTGCGCTCTTCAAAAGGGTCTGGCCAATGGGCCATGAATCAGTTGTGTTCCTTGATCGGCTCCCCCTTCGCCGAGGACAAGAAGCAATCAATGCAGAGCACAGGAACCTTTTTGGGGCTGACCCATGATCTCAGCTGCATCAACCAGACCGGACATGTGCGCTTTTGGGCTCGAGAAAGGCTCCATGACAAAGTACGTGATATGTTGGCAACGGCCAGGGTGACTGGCCACTTCAGCCGAGGGGCAGCATCGAAGTTGTACGGCCTAGCCAATTTCCTGGAGCAGGGCATCTATGGTCGAGTGGGATATGGTGGTCTTATGGCGATTAAAGCCAGGCAAGACGAGCCCACCTCAACCATCACCCCGGAGATTGAAGCATGCTTCGAGGTGATCGAAGCAGTCATGCGCTTTCAGCCAAAGCGGGAATTTCCCGTTCTGCACCTGGATCATCTGCGCTTTCTTGCAGCCTCCGACGCAGCTGTTGAAGCAGACAATCCTGGTTCAGGAGGTTTTCACCTGATCTTTTTCCAGCCAGACGGATCACAGATTCGTCACAGTTTTGTCGCCACCAATTGTGCAGAGCTGCAAACACTTTGGCAACCTGCAGAAACACACATCGCCCAATTGGAACTTTCAATGGTGCTCTACGCCCTAGTCGAAAGGCCTGACCTGTTTCGAAACCGACACGGCCTCTGGTTTTTGGACAACGTGGCAGCCGTCATGACGCTAGTGAGAGGACGTTCTAGCAATGCCGACTTAGCGAAGCTAGGTCATTTGATTCATCTAGCTCTGTTTGCACTGCGAGCCCAAGGATATTGGGAGTACGTCCAGAGCAAGAGCAACTGGGCTGACGACATCAGCCGACTTGGCATCAACGATCCATGGTGGCGAAGCCATGGTTTTGTTTTTCATTCGTCGTACCTCCCTACAATCTTTTTCCAGCTACCTTTTGCTGCTGTCATTCTCACCTTCGAATACCTTTAGTGCTTTGGGAGTTAGTGCATTGGGTGATTCCTGCAGAGCAGGTTCCAGCCTGTGTTGACAGGCAGCTGACCAGTGGCGAAACTGGTCTGGGGCTATGTACGTGTCACTTTGTGACAACCCAAAGCAAACCTGAGGATTGCAGGTGAAAGATTGACTGAGCATAGGCATAGCTGTGTGAAAAAGAAAGCTGCGGGAGCGTGAGACAGTATCTGTTTCATATGACACTTTGAGATGTACCCATGCATTGAGTTTGGCAGGCTTGGGTGTGCATGTATCATCTTTAAGTGCTTCAATGAATGCTATCATTTTGGCTCAAGTAAACTTGAACCAAAATAGCATTCATTGCTGTTTTCTTTCCCCACCCTCCCAACCCTAAGAGCCGACCTCCTGTGGAGATGTCCGCCTAGGTTAGGGGAGCCTGCAAGGCAGGCGAGTCCATAGCCTCTATCGGGGATCCTCTCTTGGGGCGACCAAGAGAGATCATAACCTCCCTTAGGTTTAAGGGATGGGTGATTCCTGCAGAGCAGGTTCCAGCCTGTGTTGACAGGCAGCTGACCAGTGGCGAAACTGGTCTGGGGCTATGTACGTGTCACTTTGTGACAACCCAAAGCAAACCTGAGGATTGCAGGTGAAAGATTGACTGAGCATAGGCATAGCTGTGTGAAAAAGAAAGCTGCGGGAGGGTGAGACAGTATCTGTTTCATATGACACTTTGAGATGTATATATATATATATATTATATAGTTGTATTTCCTGATAAGTCTGCCAAGATTCATATCTGATATGACGGTTGCATGATCTGGGCAACACTTCAAAGTTGCTGCCCCAATTGAGGCCCTGAACCACTCTGGCAACGTCCGGACCATTGCCTGTCGTGGTCCATCCCGTTCATCTCAGGATGAGGCGGCAGAGGTGGGAGATCATCCGTTGACGTTGCGTCGTCGGTGCGTCCCAACTTGGGCGCAGGACTGCCAAAAGTTCGAAGAGGCAGCAAAGGAAGGCCCCAAGGCGCGGGTTCGGTAGAGCTGGATGTCCAAAAGTAAGAACTAAATGGTACTAAATGTATATCAATATCTGTATATTTATTTATGCATTGAGCTTGGCAGGCCTTGGGTGTGCATGTGTCGACTTTAAGTGAGCCAATGAATGCTATCATTTTGGCTCAAGTTGGAGTCGAACCAAAATAGCATTCATTGCTTTTCTTTCCCCTCCCACCCAACCCTAAGAGCCGGCCTCCCGTGGAAAAGCCCGCCTGGGAGAGGGTGCCTGCAAGGCAGGCGAGCGCACAGCCCCCTCCAGGGGATACTCTCCTGGGCGACCGGGAGATTATTCACCTTTCCTTTTACTGGGCGATGGGTGATACCTGTAAAAGCAGGTTCCAGCCTGGGATGGCCAGGCAGCTCTGACCAGAAGTGGATACTGGTCCGAGGCTACGCGCATTTCACACAGTGACCGCTCCAAGGCAAACCTGAGGATAGCAGGTGAGCCGGAAAGATTGTGAGGCAGAAGGTAAAAAAAGAGAAGAGTGCGGCGAGAGTAGTGCGAGGAATCATGTTGTCACTTTAGATGTATAAAATTCTCTCAAGATATACCAGTAGTACCGCACAAGGCGGTGGCGGAAGTTTCAAAAATAGGAAACCTATAGGAGAGGTTGGTTGTTGTGAATCACGGATGACAGAGCGAAGCCACTAATGGACCGACAGGTGGTTGAGGTCTCCTTTCTTTCTCTCTTTCTCTGCCTATCTACCTACCTACCTACCTACCTACCTACCTACCTACCTACCTACCTAGCGATTTACCTATCTATCTATCTGTCTGTCTGTCTGTCTGTCTATTTATCTATTTATCTATCTATCTTTCTTTCTTTCTATCTACCTATCTATCTACCTATCTATCTACCTATCTATCTATCTATCTACCTATCTATCTATCTATCTACCTATCTATATATCTATCTGTCTATCTATCTATCTATCTATCTATGTTTCTATCTATCTATGTTTCTATCTACCTACCTACCTATCTATCTATCTAGCTATCTATCTAGCTAGCTATCTATCTAGCTATCTAGCTAGCTAGCTATCTACCTACCTATCTATCAATCTATCTACCTATCTATCTATCTATCTATCTGTCTATCTATCTATCTATCTTTCTATCTACCTACCTACCTATCTATCTATCTAGCTAGCTATCTATCTATCTATGTACCTATCTATCTATCTATCTAGCTAGCTAGCTATCTGTCTCATCTATCTCATCTATCTCATCTATCTCATCTGTCTATCTAATTATGTATCCAATGAACCTATCTATCTACCTATCTACCTATCTACCTATCTACCTATCTACCTATCTATTTCTGTCTGTCTGTCTGTCTATCTACCTGTCTATCTGCAAGCTTGAAAACCAAGCTATTCTGCAAGACTTCTTCATTTTTCAAAGTTGACAACATCAAAAACGAAGAAATTCCGCGAGACTTCGTCAATGTTTGAACTTGACAAAGTCAAAACGAAGCAATTCTGCGAGACTTCCCCAATGTTTGAACTTGACAACGTCTAAAACGAAGCAATTCTGCGAGACTTCTTCATGTTTCAAAGTTGACAACATCCAAAACGAAGCAAATCTGCGAGACTTCCTCAATTTTTGCACTTGACAACATCAAAAACCAAGCAATTCTGCGAGACTTCCTTCAAAAATGGAAAGTTGAGTGCAGCGCTGATGGCCTCGTACCAATGCGTTTTGCGATTTTTCCACTCCACCTGTGTAAAGTACTGCGCCTGCCACGAAAAATTGATGCCAGGTCATACGATTTGCTGCACTTGTCACGCAAAAACATCTTAGCAAACCGACAGGATCTGATGCTCCAAAATGCAACCCTTCTCAGGAAATCAGCGCCCTGACCTCCTAACATCTCTGATGAACATGTCTTTTGTATTGCGCCTGCCACGCGAAATGCATCTTTGCAGATCCTCTTTAAATGTTCCACGCCTGCCATCGTTTTTGGAAATGCTACAAAACCTTCACGTCTTTCTCACTTTTGAGAAGGTGCACAATCCCTTGCGCATGCCACGCGAAACGACATCTTAACGTCCAAAAGTGATCCTAACCCCTGGTGCTTTTAACATTTTGACTGCGAAATGTGCTTCGTGTCACAACGGCGTGCACTTTTTCGACATCGCAACTTCTAAAAGTGCTCCGAAGCTGAAGTGTTTTGTACATTTTGACTTGGAAATGTGCTTCGTGCCACAACGGCGTCCACTTTTTCGACATCTCAACTTCCAAAAGTGATCCGGACCTGTGTGGTTTTGTGCATTTTGACTTGGAAATGTGCTTCGCGCCACAACGGCGTGCACTTTGTTGACGGCGTGCACTTTGTTGACATCTCAACTTCCAAAAGTGGTCCAGATGTGTGTGGTTTTGTGCATTTTGACTTCGAAATGTGCTTCGCGCCACAAGCGTGCACTTTTTCATCTCTCATCTGGCCAGATGGCTCCGCACCCGCCGCTTTAGCGAGCCGAGCCTACTTTTCGACCCTCCAGAGCCACAAATCATTGGAAAAACATCGTGTTTCGCGACTTTCCTACCTTTTCGCGCATCTGCATCTTCTTTCTTCTGACTCTTTCTCTTCTCTGACCTTCTCTCTTCTACTCTTCTCTCTTCTACTCTTCTCTTCTCTCTGACTCTTCCCATCTCTGCTTTTCATCTGTCCATATTGTTGGAAGTTTGACTTCTAAACTTCCTTCAATAATTTCTAAATGCATCAAAAAAATGTATCCCTGTACATATGTATCTACATTCACATACACAAAAAACAATGCAATGATATCATGCTAAATGTCTTCAGGTATCTCAATGATTCTAAATGTGACATGCTGTGATGTTGAGATGTTCGGACTCTGTTTGCTGATCCTGATGTTGAATGATGTCGGCGATCAGGCCTGCAGAATGATGGCGCGGCTTTGCGGCAAACAGATCTATCGGGGATGGCATGAACAGCAAGTTTGGTTATTCGTGAGAATCAAGAAGCCGACCTCCCAAACAGCGGAAACACAGTATTATTATGTATTATTATTGTTTATCTATCCGCGTTAAAATTTCAGCTACAGATTGAAGGGCCCTGGGCTAACAACCTAATGCATTTTGTCAGTGAAACAGGGTTTTAAAAATGCACCCAGGGCCACCATTTTGTAGCAAAGTAGTTTTTTTAAGGCTGTGTGTGGGCTTATATGGTGAGGCCGTGAATCCATTTTGTAGCTGCTCTTGTTTGGATAACACATGATAACATAAAAAACCCAAACCATTTTGTAGCAACTTGCTAATTGACCCGGAAAACATTTTGTAGTTTTTTGGTTGGCAATCAAGAAGAAGAACATGTGGGAGCGGCCCTCATGTGGCTACAAAATGAAATCCCTCCACTGGATCTGTAGAAGGATGTAATAGCTACAAAATGACCTGCAACAAAGCAAGAAGTAACATGTTGGATGTTGAAGTTAGAAATAAAGCCCTTGGGCATGACATTTTGTAGCAAACCTATGTTGATGCCCCTGGACCCTGGGTTTTCATTTTGTAGTTGGGTGTTTTTGATGGTGGTTGTTCATTTTGTAGCAAGCCAGGGTAAGGCCGGAGGTTTGTACTAATAAAATGAGTGGGCACGGGGGCTCCCCGGATATTTCAACCCGGATGTTTATCTATTTATGGTTTATTATGGTTTATTTATGGTTAACTATTAACAGTAATTAAGTAACAATTATTGTTACTTAATTGTTATTACTATCTATTACTATCATTATCGTATTTCTGCTCTTTCTCAATGATGCGATTGGCTAATGACTGTGAAGGCATGGGTGCATGGTTTTGCATCTAGCGGTTGTTGCTACTTGTTTTGCAGATGAGTTCCTGCCAGCCAAGGCAACAACTGCAGAAAACAAAGAAAGGAAGGATGTGAAAATAGTAGCAGAAGGCTGACACTGCTGATCTTGACCATGATCACCAGCCAGCGACAGCCAATGTCAAATTAGGATTTGGGTTCCGCGCGGAACTGCGCGTTCCACAGAAATGCCAGAAGCAAAAATTGTTGGAGCAGGAAACTTCCCCAGGCTAATGAAGGTTTTTAGCATCCTTCAAAAGTTGCAAGACAAAACGGGAAACAGTAACTGCACTGGCTGGGGAGGCACTCTTTGTATCTAGCTTGGAAAAACTCCAGCTTTGACGCGATGTTCCTACATTTCGTCAGGCTGTATGAGCATCAGACGTTTGCCGCACATGCGCAGAGATCAAAAGTATTGGAAATGTTCCTTGCCGGTGCTTCTCAATGAGAGACCGGCTGCACTTGCTTTCAAACTTTCGGTGCCCCACTCCTTCCCAATGGCATGGAAACACTGCTGCTTGGATTGCCAACAACCTTGACCCCTTCTTTTTTTCTGCCACTTGAGGTTTTCAATGGGTGTGGTTTTCTACGAAATGTGGCGTCAACCTTTCTTTACGGCCATATGCTGAGAAACTTCAGTAGCTGCGGGACATGCTCCATGCCCCACGGGTCATGGTCTCCTGGCAACGAGATTCAGATCTTGCAAGGCCATGGAGCGGGCCCAAGTGCCATAGACTTAGCCTTTCGGATCATTTTTTGCAAGATTTGTAAGTAGTCTATTGTTTTGTTATTTAAACTCATCTTTTGTCACGCCTTTTTTTGACCTCCTTTTGATTCTTGCATACTCTTCTCCCTGACTTCTTGTGGTCGGGGTGCTGAACTCTTCAGCTTTTGATTGTGTCGAAGCTGCCCTTGTCATTCGCATATGCAACACAGGTTGGGCAAAATGGCGTTGGGGCTCTCGTCGCCAGACAGAATCAAGGAGCTATTTCGAAGGAAACTCATGCAAACGGCCAAGACGAAGCATGACGAAACATGGACTTACAAGTTATATCAAGTCATAATGATTACTAGATAGTCGCATCGTTGTTGTTATTAATTGTTATTCATGGTTATTGATCGGCTCAATTCGGCTCATTCTCCTTGTTCAGGAGGCGCAAGAGCTGCTTCCAGAGGCACCTCCAGAGGCAGCCAAGGTGCTGGCTTCCCTTTTAGCCACTGACCCTGGGGCCCGGAGCACCAAGATGGACAGTTGGAGTTGGAGCCTGGAAAGGTCTAGACCCTCCAAGTTCCCAATGAAAATCAGAGAAATAGAATGAAATAGATATATCTTACATCTTCTTACATTATTCTACCATATTTTACCAATTTTTACTCCATGATTTTAATACATACGTTCACCAATTTGTGCGGGTGCTTGGAGAGTTTAGTTAAAGACAAGTTGTTTTGAAGTTCCAACGGCTTTTAAGAGCAGAGTTCACCACAGACTTGCAGCTCCAAGGAGAGGATGACGGCAGACCATTTGTCTGATAGCTTGGCTGACGAATTGCCATGCCTTCCTGTGGGGCAGTGATCCTGTGACGCATTGACGCACCAAGGCTGAACCGTTCTGGTCTCCTACCTTCAGGGGCCTTTGATCCGCAGGTGCAGCGAGTTCTGCAGGCGCTGGAGGTACTGGCCTTGGAAGCGAAGCCTTGCATCTGGAAGATAATCACACCAGACCATTACCTTTTGCTTTGCTCGAATTTGCTCGATCTTATTTTGTGTTCTATCTCGATTGATCTTGTTGTAGCTTATTCTTATCTTTGTTTTATCCAGTGTATATCTCACTTTGACACACATATCCACACACACAAGCACGCATATATATATAGTCATATAGTTATATATATATTTATACATAATAAACAATTGACATTTCTTATTTGTTGATTACGTATTTCATCTTATCTCATCTCACCTTATCTGATGATTCTGAGGATCCAAGCTCGTCTGAGTCAGTAGCCTTGCTACAGGTGCTCTGCAGAGACATCAGAGTAGCGGCGTAGCGGATCTGAAACGCCACGAGAGTTGCGCGAGATAACATTCTGCGATAAATTATGTGATATTACAATCAGATCATAATCGATGTAAGACATGTGTGGTATTTGCCTTTGGCATCCCTTGGCATTCCTGCGTCCTACGTCCAGCCACTTCCAAACTGCCAGGCGTTGTTCAACCGTGCAGAGGAGCCAGCCAAGGAGCTGCACCAGGTGGTCGTTCGAGATGCTTAGAGGTCAAAGGTTTGCAGAATAAATACCATATATTACTGTACGATAATTTACAGTATATATCTATATCTATACGTACATTTATATATATATATATACCTCTCTCTATGCATATATATATATATAGATCCTTATCTAATCATACCATATCTATATCATATCTACTGCATACCTATGCCATATCTACACAATATTTATATCCTTTGCGATTCATATTTGATCCTGTTTGACTCAATGTTTGATCGGGGGGTTGAGCCTGGAAAACAACAGGGGACATGCCAAACATAGAAATACCCATAGATAGCCTTAAGATACTCCAACCAGCTTACCAGGATTTGACTAGGAGTCTTATGAACTGCCGACTGGATTCAAGTCAATCAAAGCTGAAACGTGCTGAGCATTGTGAAGAACACACGACCAATGAGACATGGCTTGAGAAGAGCTGATCCCAGATCCAAGGTCACAAAGGAAACCAAACACAAGAAAAGGACACATCCCAAGTTGGATACCAAGCAGCTCTCATTGGAAAACAATAGGGGGCATCCCAAGTTGCAAAGGAAAACTCATCAATGGCATCAGGATGTTTCCTTCTTCGTGTTTGATTTGGCAGTACCGGCCATACCGGTATGACAATAGCCATTTTGTTGCGGTAGCCTTGATGCGGGTAAGTTACAGGCATAACTTGCTAAGCGCCCAGGAACAGCAGCAGATAACAGTCTTTTCTACACAATTGAAGCCATGGCGCCAAGCGGTGAAGCCGGATTTCAGCGGCTTTGCTACCAATTCAACAGTGTGAAAATAAGGTGACGCGCAGTCAGAGTCATCAGAGTCAGCCTCGGGCATCCAATTGGTTCATTCCATTTGAATTTTGAATAATTTTGATACGTTTCCCCCCAGGCCCTAGATACATGTAAATGCTCGACTACCCCCCAGGATCTATTTATTTTGGGGTGCAGTTTGGGGGGAAATTGATAATTATCGGAACGGATTGCAGTAAATGAATTAAGGCTGCAATTTGCGGATCTTGTGCCGCCATTGACGACGGAGAAGTTTTTGAAGGAGCACTGGGGAGTGCATCTTGCCTTCAAAAGGCAACAGGTACTGTACATGGCGGGTGGTTGCCACGGCAAAATTCAGCAGGAACATAGAAGAATTAGAAGCTCCAGCTCCAGACTTGGAACCAAAGTAGACAAACTCACATACATACATGACACACACGCGCACCCTATATACGATATACATATTATAGAGATACACTATTTTTTTAATAGTTTGTACATATATGTATATATATATATACATATTATTGATTTATCCTATATGTATATATTTGATATTATATATAATATATATAATATATTATATATATTCTATATTACACATTGTTAAAATATGTATTTATATATATATTTATTGTGATGTATAATATCATTATATATATCGTTAGCTTCCAAACCCTACAAATTTGTCGGGTGCAAACTAAAACCCTGGGTTTAGCCGTGATCATGGTAAAAACCTTGGGTTTGTCACAAAAAAACAGGGTTTTCTTACAAACTGTCCGAATTCGATTTAGTGCTTGCTTCCAACACTTCTCCTACTTTGCTTCATCACATGTTTCTTAGATTTTCCTCCATTCAGCCTTACCGTCAGGAAGCCACATCTACATATATACATCTGAAGTAGAGAAAAACGCAACCCCAACATGGAAAAGTACGGGTCGGGAATTCAAGCCTCTAGCAAACCGTGTTCAACCCGTGATTTACCCGTGTCAACCCGTGTTTTCTTAAGGAATACCTAGGGTTTGTAGGCTAAACCTCGTGTATTTTGAAAATAACCAGGTTTTCTCTAACCCGTGTTCAACCCATGTTCAACCCGTGATTTACCCGTGTGCACCTATGATATAAAACATGGGTTGGAACCCCTGGAACTGGTGAAAATATAATATGTTTTTGTTGTGTTTGGGCTTGTGCTTGGGCGTCGATGACCAGTAGACTGGACAGAAATGAAACACTTTTTGAGGACCCACCGCATTAACAAAATCAGAGCATTTGGGGGCATGGTCTTGAAATTTATGGAAAAAGAAAAACCTTGGGTTTTGTTTTGAAACCCTGGGTTTTAAGTGCCACCCTGCGAATTTTGCGGGTTCGGAGGGTCAAGGTATATATATATATATTATGAATATTATATATATATATATATTATATTATGAATTATATATATATTTTATTAATATTATATATATATATTGTTATTAATATTATATATATATATATTATGAATATTATATTATATATATATTGGTTCTTTGTATTATATATTATCTATATTATATATATAATATAATATTACATAATCTATGCATATAATAGTACATAATATATTGTATATATCTTTGGATATTGTAGAACATCGTGGATGTTCATGATCTTGGTTTTGAATCAGCATAATACTAGTGTACATAGATTTAGCTGCTGTTTGCAGGCTTTCAGGGCTGAATTTAGGTATGACTCATCACCGAGTTGACTCAATTGATTCAGCTTGCGTCCAAGGAAGCCGTTTGCCACTTCTCTGAGTGAGGACAGGGCGAGTGAATCCATGTGCAGATTCATTTTCGATGGATCCTGAGTGATGTGCAGGACATGTTCACAATAATCAGCGTTGGTTTCTATGACGGAAACATGGCAGAATGCGCAACTTTGATTGCACTGAGTCGACAGAATGACTGAAGGGACTGCCTCAATGATTGAATGGCTGAATTGGCTACTGACAGAATGCCTGAGTGAATGATCAACGGCACAAGGACAGAACAAGTGACCCTTCTCTTCTGGGAAGCTTCTTTCCTGAGCCATCGGATTCTCTTTAGATTATCTTAGCCAAATCTTGCCTGAAGCTGCTCTTCTTTGAGCTACTTCTCTCCCTAATTTTTCCCTGGGCCAATTCTCCTCGGAGCTACTTAGCACGGTCGCATCACGCCGAAAATCCGCCAATGGCGGAGTCGCGGAGCAGTTCCAATGCCTTTTCCAAACACGGGTTGCAATCTCGCACTGGGGCACCAAAAAAACCGACCCCGGTTTCCAACATTTTCCAACCCAAGTTCTTGCTACAGCTACAGTCTATACAGTCTCGTGCGCTGTATTCCCACCGGCCCGCATCCATGGAAACACACCCTCCTTGACGACCGCTTGAGCCAGTGTTTCACGTATTTCAACCCTTTCGCCCGCAGACATGTTATTGTTGCTGTGATCCAATGTTTCCACCGGTGACAGTGTTAACTTCCCAACTAGAGTAACTAGTGATGTCGCCTCTGTGTTTGAATTCCTTAGCAGAAAGCCACCAATTGACATTTGTAACCCAGACGCTTTCCAACTAAATTTCATTTGCTCACATACACCTACGCATCACGCGCAGAATCACCGCTCAGATATTATACTAATATATGAATACACTATATATATATATATATATGTGCTCGGGGGGAGAGACGGAGGACGGGACCATACATATTATATTCTTATTGTTGTTGTTATTATTGTTGCGATTGGACTCACCTTCCAACTCATATTTTGTTTATTGTTATTTCATATTTTTGTTTGGCCAGTCTGCACGGGTGTACGCACCACTGGAGTGCAGGATTTGAAACCGAATTGGTACAGTACACCCATGTAAGGTGGCAAATTGCCGCAAGGACCGGGCAGGCTGCTTCAAAAGCAAATTGCATTGAGGTGGCTCCTCACTTCTAGTGCCTAAGAGCGCTTGTGTTTCGCCAAGTCATGCCAATTAGTATTGGCTAGTGTGGGATTGGGTTAGTCGGTCTGTTGCAAGGAGGACAACTCCAGTTTTACGGAGTCTGAGTTGGAGGCCTTTCAATCTGACTTGGATCAGCGCAGGACACAAACAATTCAGGTCTGTGAAATTGAAGTTTGGACAGCCATAGATAGCCACTGCACGTCAGGGTCCAATGTCCAAACTCCACTCCTTGGCGGAGGAGTGTCATCTTGCCTTTCTGCTTCACGTCCCGGCCTTTGAGGGTAAAGTCGGTAAAGTTGAGTGATGTCGTGGATGTTGAATGAGTAAAATGGGAAAAAATGAGTAAACTGGATCAGTTGACATCCCATGGCCCATGGCATCCCATGGCCATCACTGCTTTAGGCCAGGGGCACTGGATATAAAACGAGCCTTCGTGAGGGACTGCTCAGGGTTGCTCCTTTGCAAGTATCACTTTGACATACTTTGACAAGCATGGTCAAGCATGCATGTTTTTTCTTGTGCCCCTCTCTAGCTGCAAGATGCTGCAAGTACGTGCCCGCGAAGCACTGTTTCTGGCACAGGGTCACGTTGGGATTTCAAGCGCCCGTGGTTTGCATAGGCCAACCCTTGCCTTTTGGATCCTTTTGACACCGTCCTTTATAAGGTATGGTAACGACATTGAAGTGGGCATGTACTTCTCGCGGCCTGGGGTGGAGCCAGTGCCTAGGCTCAAACTGTTGTGACTTTGCAGATAGTGTATATAGAGAGTGTGGAGAGTGTGGAGCTCGAAGATTTTGAGCTAAGGCGCCATGGCATTATGATGGGTCACTTGGCGGTTGCTGGTAGTCTCAAATGCCTCCAGGTATTGTTCCTCTTCCATCCCTGTGTCAAATGCAAATCCTAAAGGATCATGTTTATTCATTTTTTTGGGGGATGGGCTAAAGAACCATGAGAGTTCTCAATTGCAGCAACTCTGCTGATGGAGTTTCGTGAGATTGTTGCCACACGGCATGTGTAGTGCTCAGCATTTAGCACAACAAAGGAATCACAACGTTACCATCCAGATTGTGGGTGAGAAGGATTGGCACTATTCCCCAGGCTTGGGTTGAAGTTTGTTGGGCTCTCACGGTCGGGAATGGACATTGATAAATATGTTGCCGGCAGTCCGGACGGCGCCAGGCAATCCTAACACACTCGGAGGGTCGCGTGGCATATTTGACGCGCCTGGGAGCCTTGCCTTAAAGTACCAGTTTCTTCCTGCTACACAGATCCCAAATGTTATCAAATTGTCAACTCGTTTATTTTGCCCACACTTCGCATTTCAATCGGTGCCACGCTGCGTGCACTCAGGAACTTCCTTGAGCAGCAAAATTCGATTCCGAACACAGGCCGCGCAGGCGCATGGTCAAAACATTGTTTGTTTCCCGAGGATTCATGATTCCAGATTTGATGGTGGGATGACCATGGCCCACTCATCCCATCTAACTTGACTATGGAGATTTTGCAGCTGCAGTCTTCAGTCCTCTTGCCGTTCAGGGTCAGGGCGGTCCCTGAATCGCGTCCTACGCTGCTTTAGCCTTCGGCCGGGTTCTGTCCTGCACCCCTGGCTTCAAATGATTTGGCTGCGACAGGTCCATAGATTTCAGCGGCATGACGGTGCCGTACAGGTATGTTCCTCCTGGACATTGGCATTCTGTGCATCCAGTGATGCTTGACTCAAACCATACTAAATCCAGAGACAAACCATTGCACTGCGCCTCAGCATTGTGCATGAACGTAATTGCCATGCTTGCACCAGGAAAGGTGAGTGCGTGTCAGTGACTTGCCTGCAGACAGAGTCAGAGATATCCTGAGACATCCAGATTATTTGCCAGGCTGAGCCCTTGGGCCCCCGATGCTCAGGTGAATCTGCGGGTGGCGAATCTTGTCCACGCCAAATGGATCAGTGAGGCCTGATGGAATTGGCAAAAAAAAATGCTCGGCAGGAGCATATGAGGGCCTGATTTCGTATTGTTTTAGCACATTGGAGCGCAAATAAAGGTCGTACCCAGTACATCCAAGTACATCCAAGTATGTTTCTTTCCCGAATGCGTAGCGAAGGATTCTTGTTTTCAAGGTCTGGGGGGCGGAGCCTTGTTTGCGGCTCGTTGCGGCTCGCGGATCTCTAATCGACCCAAAGTGATGAATTGTACTCCCATGTGTCTATTAAAAAAAAACATGTCCAGAACAGACATGAACTCCTCTAGAAAATGCATAGCCCAGGCAAAAGAAACATGCATTTTCACCTGTTTGTTTCATTTTCTGGGCTTTTGACTGGTCCAGAGGTTTTCTATCTAAAGAATCGGTACATTCAAGGCCCCCCTCAATCGAAGTGGAGAGTGCAGAGTGTGGAGTGGAAAGTGTGGAGTGTGTAGAGTGTTGAGCGTGTCATGTTGCGTATGACGTATAGTTACATCGTAGAGTGTGAGTCTTGCTAGTACTGATGTAAGGAGTGGAGTGTAGAATGCAGAGTGCAGATTCGGCGCAAAGTAAGTATGTATTTCATTTTTCTCAGCATACCTTCAGCGCTTGTTTTTGTGTCTACCTTTCGAGTTCGTGGATTCTATCAGTTGTCTTTTTTTGATGCTGTTGCTGTACTATTCTTATCATTACTAATTATATATATTACTATAGTATATTAGCGCTAGATTCAGCATGCAAAAAATATCATTATCAGATATCCTTACTCATTATATCATTATCATTATCAGATATCATTACTCATTATGCATATATATATATATATTATAATTACTATTGAAACATAGTGAAAGTATTGACAACACTTTTCTTGTTAGCAGTTTCGTTGCGGTAACGTGTCGGCCAATCACCTGGACGGACAGGTCTTGTTCGCCTCCCTAATCTCTGTGGCAAGGCACCAGCCAGTTCCAATGATCGTGCCGCTCACAGTGACGGAAACTGTGCACCGAAGAGAACGGGGTATGCACGATGGTATATGGCAATAAAAAACGACATGTTTGTTTGAAAATGGGGTGCATGGATGTGCATGGTAATGTTTATAGGAACATGTATATGATCAACCATTGATTTTTGTGTGGTGCCCTTTTTCGGACAAACCCCATTGGCAGTTCAGACATGGAAAGGCTGAAGTTTAAAGAAAGGCTACAAACCCTGAAGAAACGAAACGCGGCCAAATCGATCCAAATCGGTTCCGGTGTGAACTTTTGAATGGGTACTGACGGGTACTGACAAGGTAAAACCTCCCGACTTCCAGGGATTCAGCAATTCTATCCAGGGACAGGCCGCAAGAGTGGTGGAGTGGTTGGTGTGGTGCGATCATGGTGTCCCCTAGCTGACCCTTCCCTCTACTGAGTTAGGGTGATTCTCATGAAGCATGGGAGCTAAACGGTGGAGATGGAGTAAGTGGCAGCTTTTTTTAAAATTATCTTTGAATGGTCAGTGGAAACCAGTGGAGCCTCCTTGAAAAATATTATATGTACTGCACGGCCTTCAATCATTCAACAAAGACAACGCAGGGCGATTTCGAAATGACGTTGTATAATATTACTACGTGCACACCGTGGATCCATTCATGTGTGTGTGTATGCAGGTGGGACCAGAAGAGATCCAAGCACCACCCCGGCTGTCCCGGGACCATGATTATTATTCTCCCTCATCTCAACTTGAAACTTGGCACTTTCGAACTCAATGACACAATGATAATTCCGGTAGTTGTTGCCCTGGCCAGACCTCCGGAGTTGAGTGCTTCATCATCATCATCATCATCATCATCATCATCATCATCCTCATCCTCCATTAACAACCATTAAGACCCATTAATAACCATTTCATAACCATTAATAACAATTTTTAACTATTAATAGCCATTAATAACCATTGATAACCATTGATAACCATCAATTAGCATTAATAAATCACCACCATCATCATTATCCATAGTTTGTTGCTCCAACGGTGCTTCAACGCCGTCCTCGTCAGGTGGATTTGGCAACCCAGCAGCTACCGGCTGCGATGCGACGCTGTCGTCCACCTCGATGCCGGGAGCACAGGAGGGGGAGATAATGGGACATCACGGAGATTTTAATGATTTTGATGGGGATATGATAGGTGCGATGGTCGAGGCTTGTATATCATATCTTATATGCGACACATGAAGAATCATGAAGAGACGACATTTGGGGTGACCAATTCGATAATCCTTGCATGTCACAATCGCGTCCGTGGTGTACGAAAATCTTCGGAAGTTGGAAACTCAGGTCTCCACCACGCATGAGCCATTGGGCTCGTCCGCATGTTTCCTGTCAAAAGTACGATGACCGAGGATGATATACCCACACTGGGGGATGGTCATCAATCCATTGGAAGCTACTACATACCCATTAGATCCCATTAGGTTTCTGTGTAAAGACTTCTCTGTGTAAAAACTGTGTGTGTGTCTGAAAGCTTCTCCGTGTAAAAGCTCCTCTGTGTAAAGACTTCTCTGTGCAAAGTGTAAACTCATTTGTGTGCAAAAGCTCCTCTGTTTAATTAAAGACTTCTCTGTGTAAAAGCCTGTGTAAAACCCCCTGTGTGTATAAAAGCTTCTGTGCGTAAAAGCTTCTGTGTGTAAACGCGTCTGTGTAAAAGCTCCTCACCAGCAGCATTCATCATCATATTTTCTTGTGTGTTATCTTCTCGTCTCCTCCCTCCAACTGTCTTTCGGCACACTGTCGTTCAGTTTCAAACTGTAACGCTGTTTCTTGTTGAAGAACGGCCCGTAGTGCCTTTCTAAACTGACAAGAAAATAGGTTCAGAGGCAGCTCCCAAACTTCATAAACGGCTCCTTCGCCACGCCAAACAGCGTGCTACTGAAGGACGGAGCGGGACTGCGGCCAGTGGCCCGGAGTGCCTAACGTTGCTTTCTGAACCGACAAGAAAATACGACGTAGGTTCATGCAACTTCTTCTTTTGCGTCCTCTTGCAGCTTGCTTTCTTATTTTTTCTGTTTCTTTCTCTTGCGCCTTGGTTCTGCTTTTTGCTTGCTAGCGTCTTGGTCTTATGTCTTGCTTTCTTCTTCCAGTTTTCTGTTTCTATGTTTCCTGCTTGCTTCGCCTTCTTCTGCTTCTGCTTCTGTTTCTATGCTTGCTTCTCTTTGGCCCCTTGCTGCTATTTGTCGGCACTTGCTGCTTGCAATCTCTTCTCTAATGCGCCCCCTCTGCTGTCGGCATGGGTCGGCGGATACATTGATTTACCTTGACACCTTGATGATATTTTGAAACTCTTAAGATTGATTTTACACCATTGCTGTGCAAGTACTTTTAGCTTCCCCGGCTTTAGGTTTTCCGTTCGAGGAGGAGTACTCTGATGGGCTGAGGCGGTTGGCCTTTTGATGCCTTTTAGATGGAAATCATATAGGATCAGGATCACATAGGTTTGTACCACTTTGTCCCGCCATGAGAATCAGATTGGCAGGTTAGGGGCTTCCTTGGCATATTTGGTCGCCCAAAACTTTGTCATCGACAGCCTTCCACCCGATGACATCATGGTTGTTGGCTCAGACTTTGCGACTGAACATTTAGGACCAACAATGACAAACCATCACACACCCAAAGTTTTTTTGCACAGCACGAAGGTTGAGGTGAGTCCATTGGTGCCAGCATCTCAGTCTTGGTCACTTGCCAGAGTGTCGACACCTAGCAAGAGCTTGCAAGGTCAATCCTTCCAAAGGAGAGGGATGAAAACTCCTTGGCCGCGTGCCTATCAAGCTCAAACTTGTATAGTTTCACCCTTCCAACATTTTCCTATCACCGTCGACATGAAACAACATAAACAACTAACAACGAAACACGGTGAATCTGCCAAGTGCACCGAACATGTCGAGGTCATCGACCTTCGATCCGTCTCTAGCCTGACGGGATCGGAATATTTGAGGCAAGTCATGGGATAATTCCTGGCACGATAGAAATCGACAGCATCCGCAGAGGTTTTCGCTGCATTGCGGTGCTGCATTGCTGGCTCCTGGACTCATTCTGCGAGAGAAATATGGAGATACAGAGTACCAAGAGATGCCAAGAGTCATCTTGTCAAAGGATTGAGACTGTACTTCCTGCCCACTGAGGAAGTTGTGGATAGACTTGCATGTCACGGGAAGGCGTGGAAGGATGCCTCTTTTGCACATATGTAACATGTAGCTTGATACAGGTAAAGTCAGCATTTGCCCCCCCACCAGGCACGCGTAAGCGAGCTGAAGTCTGCTTGTGGTGGCAGTGAACGAAAGTCCGCCTTTCATGTTTATACTCTTTGTACATTTTGTACTGGCTGATGCCGAAGCATTTGCAAGTCGGGCTCAAAGCAGTTGAACAGATCCATCCCAGACAATCCAGAACTGCGCGGGATCCTGAAGAGCACATCCTGAATGCAGCAGCCAATCGCAGTTGTAAGAGAACCATCCACACTCATGCTTGCAACTCGCAGCTCCCTGGGTGAATGCATAATTAACGTACTTGCATAGAACTGTATTATTATATAGATGCATACATATATATATATATATAACTATAGCGCACGCACACAGGTAGATATTTATATTATATATCAATTATATAAATTAAATATCTGGAAAGCCAAAAACACAACATTTTCTGGTCACTATCGGAAAAAGCCGTAATGATCATTTTTTGGTAAATATTGTTTTTACCAGTAATGACCAAAAAATTGTCAAATCAAAAGAACATTGCAGTCCTACCCCGTGGCAAAACCGTATTTGTTCAACATTTTGTTGAAAAAAAACGTAAAAAAACCGTAGCAGCTCTCAAACAAGCCTACCCGTAGCAAAACAAAGGCCGTAAAAAGCCGTAGCAACTCTCACACAAGTGGCTCCAGACGATCAAAGCCATAATGACCAAAAGAAATGGTCAAGGTATGTCAAGACCGTTTGACCAAAAAAAAGATATTATATGGTTTTACCAGGTAATTAAATAAGTAAATGCATAATGATGCCAGATACATATGCAATGCAATGCAATGCAATGCAATGCAACGCAATCCAATCATATCCAATCCAACGCAACGCAATCCAACGCAACGCAACGCAACGCAACGCAACGCAATGCAACGCAATGTATATATATATATATGTATATATATGTATATATATATATGTATATATATATATGTACTGTATGTATGTATGTGTATGTAATGTAGGTATGTGTGGGTATAGTATAGTATTTATTGATAATCACATACTGTGAGGGCCCACCACCTTGAAGCCTCAAAACCTCTATTTTTGAGGGCCCAGAAACGAGCCTCCGAATACGGGTGCTGAAAGGGGCAGCATGAAAGAAAGATGCTGTACGATGTGAGGGCATGGAAGCTACTGTATCTTGTTGACCACTTGTGCAAGGTTCAGATAACATGATGTGTGCTACTTTGCCACAATATTTGGTGACCCTCTAACCCTCTAAAGGGCTTTTTCGTGGCAGGTGCAATATTTTGTCATCCTCCTGTTCCCACTTTCGTGTCAGCAGTATTTGGTGAACCTATACTTCCATGTTTCGTGGCAGGCGCAAGGAACTTGAAGCGCCAAGTGGCCAAACGTGTGGCGAAGCCTTAAGGCCTTAAAGCGTAACGTTGGAATCCAACGTTACGCTCGTTTTTCGTGGCAGGCGTGGGACAAAAGTGGAAATCGTAACGTTGGACGCGTTAAAAGAACCATAAAGACTATAGACTTTTTAAACACCTTTCCAACGTTATGATTTTCACTTTTTTGTTACTGTCGCCAAAAACGGATCGTAACGTTAGATTCCAACGTGGTGATTTGCGTCTTCGCATGGGGAGTACCTCAATTTTGGCCGAAGTAGCTCACCCTGGAAATCGCAAAACGCATTGCAATTGGCTGTTTCATAGTCAATCCGCGGCGCTTCAAACTGCTCCATTTTTCGTGGCAGGCGCAATATTTGGTGAACCCTTAGTTCCATTTTTCGTGGCAAGCGCAGTAAGTGAAAAGGCATTCATGTGGCTCCCATGGTAATTTATGTAATTTGGGTGCAGAGGTCCTTTAATTAACAGTCCCGGTTGCAAACTTGCATGCGGGCATTGCGGCCGGGCACGGCGCCTTTCAGAAGAATTTCACGCATACGAGGCTATCATGCGACAGCAAAAGCGCAAGGGTATAGATCATGCAGTGGCCTAGAGGCATTGCCGAAAACAGAAATGCACGGTTGAAAAGGTTGCACAATGCCGGAAGGTTGTGCGTACCAAGGGTGAAAACTCTAGAACAGGGTCCCGAAAGCGAAGCCGCTAGGAAGGCTCAAAATGCTGGCCGCTTGTAGTGGTGGCACAAAAACGGCGCCTGGATTTTGGCCTCGATTGTGGCGCCGGTGGCGAAGATCGTTTTTTGCATTTTTTGCGCTCGGGCTTGAAAAGAAAGCAGGACAGCAAGAGCTTCCAAACCAGAAGGGAAGCAATTTTCACCGCTGGCAACAGCATTTGTCTAGCCGGTTGACATGACTTAAAATGTAGCATATAGCTGCATTCATGCTTTGCTAGCAAGGCACCTGCCATCAGCTCTCACAATCTTCTGCGCATGTGTCGCGCATGAATGCAAGCAACGGTTTCTTTATGATGGACGCCTGCAACAGCAGCAAACTGGGCAGTTGCAGCCTAGCCCTGGCATGCAGTTGCGCCTGTGAGCCCCTGGCAAATTATTGAGCAAGCAACAATAACAAGAGAACGCACCTTAATTCCTAGAAGGCATCAGTTGCAAATATCCAGCACATAACAGCACTGTATATATGTTATTTTACTATTACTATTATTATAATATATACTTATCTACTAATAATATATATATATGGCCCAGCGTCTGATTGTCACCCCCTCCCTCGCCGAGATGGTGATGGTCCCTATTTGTATATATGGATATTTGCAAGATTACACAAGTATGTGATAACATGTGCGTATCTACGTGTGTATATACCTGGGGTCTCCACTAATTACCCTTTTTTTTGGGGTACGTTTGATACTTTTTGGGGTCGTTTCAAGAAAAAAAGGCCTTTTATCTTCCAAGCAGGTGCTGGCTATATACACCATAGACTATATAGGCATTACTAAGCTAAAACATGTGAGCGTTTTGTGCTTGTCCTGCCTGATTTTGGATCAGGCACCCTCACACATCATTCAGACCCAAGCGCATAACTAAAACTTGGTTACGCCGCCTGTCGAAGTGCGGCGGTTTCAGCGTTTCTGAAAGTGGACAATCGTCACTCTTTTTCCATCTTCATGCGAGACACCATAGTCCAACTCGGTTGTTGTGCTTTTTACAAAGCTTTCCTAACTGGTCCCATAGGGAGTAGCCAGGAGCCAACACTTCGTGCAACCATTGCCAAGGCAATGTCTCATCAAGGCAGCTGTTGTTACAACGTATCAGGAACGTCTTGCAAATTACTGGACGAAGGTGTCACAACGTATCAGGAACGTCTTGCAAGTTACTGGACGAAGATGTTACAACGTATCAGGAACGTCTTGCAAGTTACTGGACGAAGATGTTACAAGGTATCAGGGAGTCGTTATTGACAACGCAGACCACAGGACTCTATTACACCCCCCCACCCCCCCAAAAAGGAAAAAGACAATGTACAAAAGTGACAACAGTCCCACCTAAAACTTCTTGGCTGAACAACTTTGGATCCGCAATTCGTGTCGAAATTAAAAAACCTTTGCCTGCTTTTTACACTGAACTGCGGGGTCAAACATTTGCACATTGCGACACTTATGCGGAATATACACGGGGTTTGAGCACATCCACTCGCCCTGATCTTGTGTTGCCAGCTGCTGAAACAGTTTTGACGGATGGACGGATGGATGTGAAAAAAAAGGCGGATTTTTGTTTTAAGATGTTTTAAGTCCTTTTGGTTCGGGCGGGTCCAAACTGGACGGATATTTCCGTACTTTTGGACGCCGCCCAGACGGCCCTCAGCAGAAAAAGGTACGTTTGAAGAAAAAAAGGCCTTTGCATGTTTGCATTGTGTGGGCAAATCTTCCAAGGACAGTATGTCCGCAACTGAGTGTTAAGACCTACCCTCATGCTTGCAATAATGAAAGAGCAAAGCGTGTCCAAAAATCAAAGCAAGGAAGATCGAAACCATGGCATCAAACACAAAAACGAGAACCAATACTTTGGAAATCTTTGCTCCTGCACCTTCAATCAGCCAAAATAAAAAGTGCACCCGCAACAATGAGTTGCAAGTTGGCAATGTGGCACATTTGTTTGATTTCCGCAGTTTCCGCAGTTTCAGCTGTACCTCCCTGAGTGAACATCACTAACATGCAAAAAACGGTACTTAGTTTCAAAAAATATACTTTCAGAAAAACATGCCACCAAAAAATTAAGGGGCGTTGGAGGGTCAAGGTATATATATTTTTTTTTTAAATGTAAGTCTATCCCCCCTGGATGTGGTGGGGTGAAGTAGCAATCCCCCGTGTTAGGGGCCTTGGATACTAGTCCTCAGACTAAACACTTGCGAACCCTACCGAAGAGCAGCAACACGTTTTTTCTCTCGAGCTATGCTACCAAGCTAGAGCGTCGCAGTAGGTGAAGTGAATTGAATGATCTACAGGTAAAGACATGCACACTACTCAGCATTGCATAGACACGTAAACAAACTACAAAAAGGATCGCGCGTATGGGGGGGGCGGTGAACACGAGACACGGGATGCATATCGCACGTCGTCGGCACCAAGACTCTTCTTTTCAAAGCAAAACTTGCAAAGCCGCAGAGATCCGCAGAGCCATAGCGCTGCCATTCTGTTCTCGAGATGGTTCTTGCCCCAGCGCTGATTCTTTTGAGCCTCTACAGTCCCTGTGTTTGTTTGAGGCCACAGTTTGAAATTTACAATTTCCAGCAATTTCTAATTGACTCCATTGCCGGAGGGGAGTACCCAAGTCATGAGAGGTTGTCCCGCAGCAACTCTGGCTCTCCGGCCCAAACAGCTCCGGTCAGCCAGCATCTACCAACGAAATGAATCCCAACAAGCCCGGCAGGGTACCACTAGTCACAAGGTGTAGCCAAATGAAAACTATTGAAAACTACAATCACCATGCCTGCTTCGCTAGATGGGTCACAGCATTGAAGCAGCAGTGAAACATTAATTGATACACTCCACCATAGGTTGTGGCTCTGGCCCCAGGGCTTAGAGGAGGTAATTGCAAGAGATTCATGACCTTGAACTTAAGCCCGCCAGTCAACAATGATGTGAACATGTTTAATTATAACATAACTATAGCCTATAATAATCGCTGGAAGGTGCCAGAGCAGCACACCGGGTGGCGCAGGAAACTGCATTGGTGCCGCCATGGCAAGCCTACTGGGTTTTGGCGACAGCCACGAGAATGTGTTCGAAGCAAAGTTCGACCGAGATCCGCTGCAAGCAATCAAAGCTTTGAAGTCCGACTTCGTGCCTCGTTCCAAAGATCGCTATGAGATCACTATGACATGCTATGACACAACATGATGTTCTGAATGCACTGAATGCACGGAATGCACTGAATGCAGTGTAGGTGGTCCCATCAGGTTTTCAGTTTCCGGGGCGAGACGCAATCGAGACGCAATCGAGACAGGATACTTTTAATATTTTGAATGTAATGTATATATAATATAAAGACCAGTGATGACCAGTGCTTCTTTCTGACACGGTGTTCTGGGTGAGCATGGGCTCTCAGCCATGTCCTTTCGCCCGAAATCCCATGACCCAGAACATCCCAGAACCAAAATGTTGCATTTGAATGCATTTGTGAGCATAGGATTCCATACACAGACGCAGGCTTGCACAGGCATTCAGAATCTTTGCTGAACCCTGTGGACGTATTTGCAAGAACATGCAAGAGATAATTAATCTTGGTGCACACACCGATATTTATAATAGTGATTAATATCGTTTTCCATACCAAAGACAGACAACACGATAGGAATTGGACATGTAGACTCGTAGACCTTTTTGACAACTTTCCGTTCCACCTAAGGAATCCTTCTACCAGAGGATGCAGCAGAGGATCGAGTCCCTTTCAGCTGCTATGGGTTCTGAGACGGAAGGTTCAACCCGTTCTACCCTGAATAGCACCGTGAAGCGTGAGGCAGAGTGCAACGGTGATTCAGCACCTTGCGAGCCAGCAGCGGTGACGGCGCATTTGCAGGGCGTGAAGCTACGAGAGGCTCAGGAAACAGGGCTTGAAAAAAGATATGTCGTTTCTTGTGGTGTGCAAGGATCCAATGATATTCGCTTGCACGGCAGATGGATGGAACTCTCCACCCACAAGGTGGCTGACCCGGTGGTTGAAAAACCATGTTTTGAATGTTTTTTTTTTCTCACCGATTTTCACCATGTTTCTTTTCTCATTTGAACATATTTGAACCATTTTTAACCATATGCGACAATGATCCCAATTGACTGTCCATATTTGTTCCGGAGTGGTGAGCCACCTGGAATCAGGTGGAGACAGATTCCGTGTGGAAGACCGGCACCAGGAAGACCAAACGGATCTCAAGGCGGCAACAGAGCCAGCTGCTAGCGCCGAAAACGCTGCTGGCAAAGTTTTTCCCAGTGATCCAACCGGCGGGGCGCTTTAGGTTGACTTGGGATGCTTTCGGTCTCTTTCTGATCCTTCTAGATGCCTTCGTTCTACCCGTGACCATAGCTTGGGACATGAGGGGGGGATTCGACTCTGTAGGTGGAGTAGTTCTAAGCTTGTCTTTTTGGGTCAGTGTATTCTTCTGGACTACTGACTGCTTCTTGAACTTCACAACTGGATTCTACAAATCTGGAAAGCTGATCAGTGATCGAGGGAGGATTGTCGCACACTACATCAAGACATGGCTCTTGTTTGACATCTGCCTGCTATCCATAGATTTTCTGAATGCCTTCACAGAAATGGGAGAACTTGCAGCCTTGAGATATGCACGCATGGTTCGGGCTTTTCGGTTGCTGCGCCTTCTGAAAATGTCAAAGCTACAGGACATCATGCAGGAAGTTGCTGCTTCAACTGGGCGACAGTGGATCATGCTTGTCATTGCTATCGTGAATACCGCTTTCGTGATTCTGGTTGTAGCACACATATTGACATGTATGTGGTTCTGGCTGGGTCGTGCTGCGGAAGATGACGGGATCTATAGCTGGATTCAAAGATCTGGCGGCGAGGACTACCGCACAAAGCTTTCAGTCTACGTGCAGTACCTTCACTCCCTCCGCTATGTCATGAATGCGCCTTCTCCTCCAGATATTGCCCCAGAAAGTGAGTTGGAAAGACTATTTGATATCTTTTCGTACATCTTCACCCTGGTGGTGATAGGCTCAGCAGTTTCAGCCATCGCTGGAACTTTGCAGGAGCTCAAGGCTATGAACGAAGCCAGTGCTCGACAACGTCGAGAAATCCGGATATACCTCACAAGCCAACATGCATCATTTGAGTTGGTTTCCAGAATCATGAAGTTTGTGGACTACAAGTTGCAAAAGATGTCTTTTGTCACCTTTGACCCTACGTTGATCTCAGCAACCCTGCAGACTGAGCTGTTTGTTGGACAGCGCAGTCGCTACTTGGAGCGTTTGCCCATTTTCCAGCTGACCTCTGATTTGTTCGCAGATGTCTTTGCGAGCATTTGCGCGGCATTAAGCAAAAACGTCTATGAGCAGAAAGAGTACATCTTTGCGTCTGGTGCATGGTCAACTGCACTCTATGTGACAGCAGCGGGTGGGTTCCAGTATGCTGACGATGTGGATGGGAGCATCGAAATGGAAGGAGAGTACTGGTTCGGAGAGCTGAGCTTGTATTCAGAGCAAACCATTCACCGATCAACTTTGAGTGCCCGAACCTTTGCAGAAGTCTTTGCATTGTCGGGCAAGGACTTGGCAGACTGTGTCAGGGACTCACCTGGATGCACCTCCATGTTCTGCGAGTATGCCAAGGACTTTGTGAGTTCGATGCAGCGAGCTCGCTCCGGCGCCGTGGAGGACGCAGTTGAGATCGCCAGCAAATGTTGTAAGCAGAACCAGTTCTACCAGGTGCTCTACCCTGACCCCAGCAAGCTCTTCTGGAACGTTGCAGTGGCAAAGAAGGTGCAGGGCTCCCAGATCAAGCGCGACAAGAATAGGCGGAATCAGACCATCAGCATGGGTGTTTCGAAGCTCGAGCAGGCAGATGCGGAAAGACAAGTTTCTGATGACAACCATTCAGTTAGATCAGATGACACAGACGCGGAAGATCCTGGTTTAGCAGAAATGCTTTCGCAGGTGGCAAGCGGAGGATTGCCAGAGACATTGGCAAAGGATTTGGAGACTTTCGTGCCAGAGCTTCATAGTGAATTTGGATCTCACATGGTGTTTGAGCAAGCTGCCGAACGTGACCGGGCAGTGTCCTCTTGCATCAGTATTCTTGCCTTGGTTCATGACAGATATGATGTTTTTACAGGGCCACAGGCAGCTCCTGTGAAACTCCGCCCTGAGCAATGGCAAGAGCTTCGAAGAATTGTATCAATGATATCACCCAACCTGGAACAGATGCAAGCTGTTGTGGTCTTGCTCTCAATCAGAGGCCTGGGAAAGTCCAAGACAGTCTTGAGTCAGGTTCCAAGCGACATGAAACGCCCAGAGAGAGCAGTGATGCACCGAATGTCCGTGGAGAAGCAGGTGGTGCCCTCAGTGGTTTGGCTCAGTGAAACTCAGCGGAATTACATGAACGATGCACTTCTGGTGCACGAGACCTTCAATCTCGCACAGATGTTGCAGGGGGAGAATGTTCCGGCAAACATCACCGAGCTGTACAACCTTGTGCACGAACAGGGGCAGAATGGCTTCCATTTCTACATGCTGTTTCTGTTGGGCTTCATGAGTGGCATTGCTGCAGGCAATGGCTCCCGCTTCATGAATGCTAAAAATGCGGAGGCCGCCATCTCTGGATTTCTGATGCTACAGAGCTTGCTGAAGAGTCCTCCAAGGGATATCTACTGGGGCTACATGACCACACGCGCCCAGGCGCTGAAGATTCCGCATGAGACGGCCGAAGACCTGGTCCTGGTTCGCTTGGCGTGCTTGAGTCGTTTGCAGGATGCCTCTGGCTACAAGGCTTTGCGTGGATCTTGGGATGTCTTAGGAAGTTTCCAGAAGGATGTCTTGATACACCACTTCCTGGCAGATGGGATAGAAACACGAGCCTTTGTGCTGGAGTTCTTGCCCACGTGTGTTGCAAATGCAAAAGCCAATGGACTCATTGGTCTCACTCTTTTACTCGAGGTTCTCGTGGAGTTGCTGACCAATTTGAAGCAGGCAGTCCAAGCTTCCAAGGAAACTTCCTCAGTGATGACACTTCCAGTAGCTCTGTGGCATTGGTTTTTGGGATTTTGAGGGGCTGTCGTAGCGACACATACAGTGACATACTGTGGCTATCGGATGCTATCGGATGCTATCGGTGGTTCATTTTGTTCCTCCTCCTTTGAAAGATCTTGAAGCAACATGCCCCTACCTTCTGTTTTCACCCCTGTATCTCATTTTTGTAGGACAGTAGGCACTCCAGGAAAGTATTTTTTAAGCATGTTTTGTTCTTCAGACTTTGTGACACCTGTCAGGTAGATTTGATGGACATGAGCGAGTTCATAGCAGCAGTTCAGAATCGCTTTGTGTTTCAAAGTTGTGTCTCCAGGTGCTCCTTCAAGTTTTCGGGTACGCGAGTTCTTGTTGAAATGACCGGAAAGAATTGGGGCAGAACGAATGACCCAGATAGTGATCTCACTAGTCTTGCCTATGAAGTGAAAGGAATTCTTGCAACCAACAACACTGTTCAACGCGCGGCTTAAGATGACTGGAGGACAAGAGGACTTGAGTGCTTAAGGCCTTGAGGCGATCAGCTCTAGTGCTCTAGTGGTCTCACCTGGCAGCCACCACGTTTAAGCAACGACTAGTGACATCCATCCAGTGACATCCAGTGACATCCAGTGGCCAAGGACTAGAAAGGTGCTCAGAGCACTCAGATGCTCAGAAAGGTGCTGCCAGCGCTGCCATTCTTTTCACGTATTCCCTATATCGTTGGCACTGTTAGCAGCTGTCGGTTATCGTCCGGATCTATACAGATGTATCCCCGCATGGTTTCACCATGTTTCACCAGTAACAGTCCACCTGCCCTTTGATATCCTTTGATTACGATTGCAGCAGTGACAATGTCGGCGTGTCCGTGAAGTTTTCCCGGCAGCACCCTGTCGCAGCTGTAGCAATTTGCTGCAGAACTAATTTCTCAGCAACTTGGACGGAGGCAAATGCACGCTAGTTCATGCAGCTCATGATTCGACATGTGCGCTATACTCAATGCTTTGCCTGTGTCAAGTTTCTTGTAGCAAGAGAAGTGATTTGATGTGGAGTGCCTGGAGTGCTGTGAAAATGCTGGTGGAACAAGGGATTTGGTCTCAGAAGCGTTTTATGTGATCCTATAACTTCGGTCACGACATTTAAATACGTGGAGGACGGGCCAGACCACAAGGCCCCGGAGGTAGTATGAACACCAGTTTCATCCACATATTTATATAAATGTATGTTTGAATAATTTGCATATTCTGTATGTTTAAATGGCTGGGGGGGCCAAGGAAAACCTTCCCGGAGGTAGTCTAAGATACCAGTTCGTATATTTCAAAATCCGTATGTTAGATAGATGTAGGCATATACTGTTACATGTTTCGGGCAGCTTTCTGCCGTTGAAGGGCAAAAGGCACTCCAAAAGGAAGAAACCAGATCTGGGTTCTCACACTTGTGAAAGCTCAAGGCAGCTTTCGAACTGCAACAAAAGAGGTGAAAAAGGATCCTGCTCGCAGTTGGCTGGTCGACGATTTGTTCGATACCGTTGCTTTTTCACGTGGCTTTTGCATTTGTTTTGGAAATGTTTTTTCATATATCCCCGCGAGGGGATTAATAAAACGGGATAAACAGGGTATGGTTTCTCCTTGGGTGTATGACATTAGTCAGCTGCATGGTTTTGCATTGGCAAATGCTGGCTCCACCCTGAGGCCAACCTTGACAAGACCTGCATGGACTTACTTAATGGCGCTTGTGGATGAGGCACAGCATCAAAGGGATTTGAGCAATCACCTACCGAGAGTTAGAAGCTTTAGGGTCCAGAGGGATGACTTTAGCATACTTTAGCGGACACCTACGAGCTATGGCAGCTATGATGGTATGAGAAGTAGTACAATGCACTGAGCGACTCAGCAGGCACTGGGGTGTTCGACGCTTTGCGGTGAGCCTGGACATTTGCGGAAGAAAAAAACCAGCTCTTGCGACTCTTGCATGACTGCGTGATTTGCCCCACTGGTCTTCGATGCTCAAATTGTGACAGTCATTGGCTTGTGCCAACTCCATCTTGACAGCAATTTCAATACAGACACTTGTTATCAGAATCGCATTTTCCTTGGCGTGCATTGAGACATAAGTCTTTCTTCGTGTTCAACCATTGTAACCAGTGTCTTGCATTCCAAAAAGGAAATCTGAGAACCTGTTCTGCTCATGCCAGGCAGAAGAAGAGGCGGCGCAGAGAGTTGCAGGACAAAGACGATGCGGTCAATCCCTTAGCAATTGGTTTTGACATGTTTTGACGTGTCCGGTGTTTTTCCGAGGCTGGTTGTGCTGTACTCTATATAATATAATTTAACGTAATATGATATAATTTAGTAAAATATAATATAATGATATATAATGTATATAATATAATATAATATATATATATGTATTGATTGATTGATTTGTTTGTTTATTTATTTATATACTGCATGAATCTGCAAGCGTTGGGTGATCTTGAGCAGGTAGAGTCGGTAAGATCACCTGGGAGCTACATACCTTCCAATGGTGAAGTTATCACTGGAGACCACAGCGAAGGTTCTGCTGCTTCGAGTTCTTCTGCATGCCAACGTACTGTTTCTGCAGGAGGTGCAGCTGCCAGCTGAAAATGCGGGCATTCCATGATTAACAAATGTACTGATGCTGTATGCCGTATGAATAGGATCCCATTGATAGGCTGATTTGGGTGATCTAGCAGAGAGCTGTGTGATTGGAACTTCAAAGCTAGTCACTATTTTTGCCGCATTCCAGACTGCCACATGATGGCTCTTGCAGGAACTTTCCTGAGACGTGAGACGCCTGCTCCATCTTGCGCAAAATTGCTTGAACATTTGTGCCGAAAGTGGAAATTGCTTCCAACTGTGAGAAGGTAGTTCCACTGTTCCACTCAGTGTATCTCATAGCTCTCGGCCCACCTTCCCCACCTTCTCACGGGCTGCAGGACATTCCGTTCTTTGAGCAGCTATTCCTGCAACCTCAGACGCAGGTCAGCAAAAATAACAAAAGCCAGTTGACGCAAGAAAATTGTTCGTTGGTTTGCTATGTGGCAGTGGCTTTGCTAGCTGTGCTGGGGAGAATTTTCTAAAGAATTAAGTCTCATCAGTTCGAAATCCCTTATATCTGAAATTTTGGATCAGGAGGACATATTAATTAATACCTGCAACATCCAAAAGGCAATTTGTTGCAAGGTTTTGCCAAACTGCAAAATATGTCACGATTTTCAGAAAAAATATGAAAACATGACGATTCAGGCAAATATTGCCGATTGGGCATTCTCCCTAAAATATCCCAAGAAAACGATCTATCTATTTCCGTCCTCTCCATCAAATGCAAAGATGAAAGACTAGAATCGCTACGCATGCCAGCCCACTTATTTAAGAAGTTCTATGCTGTACAAACCCACTTGCAAATACGTGCTTCTCATTTAGTTTCTCTTTGAATAAGTATTTGAATTGTCTCAAATGCAAGGTGACTGAATAGAGGTCAGGTGTGTTTGCGTTAGTCATTTGACTAGAAAACGCAGTCAAACAAGGAACCCTAAAAATCGCTGTTTGGACCGGAAAAATATCCGTTTCGTTTTCAACACCTTTGGCTTCACCTTTGCTTGAATATAGTGTGCCAACACTACCTCTTTAATTTCCGTGGTGGCCTTGCAACCTGACTTGCACCGAAAACTGTATACTCTGCATTAGTCAAGTTATACAGTGATGTATGCCAAAAAAAGGAAAGGTGAGGGCACTGACTAGGTCACATGCAAAAAGGGAACTACAGGGCACAATTAAGCGAATGATAGCACCTCCTACCTGTTCCAAGATGCACCAAATCCATCCAAATTCGCCAACCTCAAAAAAATACGATTCACAAAATTTACACCGTTTCGTCAGAAAACATGGTCCATGGTGCAGGTATTATTCGAACTCAGGTGGGTTTGTTTCGTAACACACGTACAAGTGGAGTTGTGCGTATGACACGTGATACATGCAGTGAAATTGCTTCCTTCAACGGTGGCGCCAGTCTTGTGGATTTTTTGCGCTAAATGTTTTGACATAAGTCCTCTGTCGTCCTCTTCGCTGGGGATTTGTAAAAGAAAAACAGCAGGTTTTTCTGCATGACAATGAAGCTGGTGGCATGGTCGGGCCATTTTGGCTCAAGGCTGACCTGCCACCAGCACCATGTTGCCTTTTCTTTTGTGTGTGGTTTGGTGCGCGGTCAGCCAACATGTTTCCGAGTCAATCAGCCGCCATGCAGATGTCAACCATCAGCGACCTTCGAACTCATTACAGCCTTCCGGACGAGCTGTGGTCGGCGTTTACATCGGTGGCTGGGGACCCTGGAGAAGATCCTCGACTTTTGGCAGTCCTACCAGCCAATGTCATCTCTGCTGCCCTCGAGCGGGCGAGGCTGGACGAAAACACTCCACTGTCGGCAGTTCAGGCTTCCCATGTGGGCCTTATTTACAGCATTGCGAGGCGCATACAACATACAAAAGGAGGGGGAGATTGGGATGCATGGTCAGACACATCGCCCTTCTCCCATCAGCCCATGGACGTGCAGACGGTGACGAAGGAACCTGCAGCTTCGGTGGGGCCAGAACGCAAAATGAAAATGACCCAGATACTCGATCAGGGGGACGATGGGGAGTTCATCGTGCAGGGCGAAGACTCAAGAGCTGCCTGGTACCAACAGTACCTATCAACGGTGGGGGGTTGCCCGCGGGAAGAGGAGGACCCCACCTTAGAACAACTCAGTGCCTTGCAGAGGAGAATTTCGGTGCAAGACACGGCGCCTTACGTGGACTTTGCCATCTACGTCCCATTTGGTCACAGAGCATTGAAGGCATCGAGGTTCAGGACGTACGTACTGACATCATCAGGCTACACGACGAAGGAGTTGCCGGGCCCTGCAACATTCACCCAGTGGCGAACGTGCTTCAGGTTGTTGAGAACGTCCCTCATAATGCTGGACGCAGTGGGCCTCGCGGCGTTGCACGGGTACGAGATGGCCATCGAAAGATTGTCGAGGACGTATCCATCGGCCTGGCATTTGATATATGCTGCAGACGAAGTTGCAAGGTCATCCCAGTCAAACAGACTTCGATCAAAAGTACTGATGGACGAAAGGGCAGGGAAACCACGTCCGGATGGCTTCAACCCGAACAGACCATGGGACTATGTGTACCTCACCCTGGCGAAGGACGAAACGTTTTGCAGAACACAGGTTCACACCCCTGCCCTTGCATGGATCGCGTCAGGAAGTCATGGAGTCCCGAAGACACCAGCCGAGCAGTTAGCCTCCAGCTCCCTCCAAGGTGGATTGGCCGCCATAGCACCCGTCATGGAGAACGACACAGGCACGAAGGGAACACCACCGAGCAACCGCAGGAAGAAGAGAAAGTGGGGCAAAGGAGGTGGCGACGATGGAGAAGACCACAAACCTTCAAAAGGCTCGGGAGGAAAGAAAGGAGGGAGCAAAGGAAACGGAGGTCAGAAATGCTTCGCCTGGAACAACGGCAACGCGCCCTGTGGGGACTTGGCGCCGGGGCAACAATGTGCAGCAAAGGTCAAACGTCTACACCGCTGCACGAAGTGCGACTCCCCAGGTCATCCAAGCCGAAGCTGCACGAAGAAAGAGTGAGGTCCAATGCAGCTGATGACAACGACCCCAAGACGGGCGCCGCCAAGCAGGAGACGACGGAAGGTGCAAAGAGCCCGAACTCCTACACCTACACGTATGAGACGGAAGACGAAGAAGAAAAGGGAGGCGACGATGGTGGTGACGAAGGACCCCAAGAAGAGACCCCTCTCCAAGCAGAGACACTGGAGGAGTACTACACGAAGAGGGTTTTCATCTTCATACATCACTACGCTGGCGCAGAAGACCCGTTGACCACGGCGATGAGGAATGAAACATTAGCTCAAGGCATCCGCTTGAAAGCCATCAGTGTCGAGAAGTCGAATGGATCCGGAGATCTTCTCGCAGATGAACCTTATGCCACGCATTTGAGGTGGGCAAGAAGGGGCTATATAGATGCCTATCACGCGGGATTTCCGTGTTCTACATTCTCGAGATTGCGGTGGCGGAGGGCTCCGAACATGCCAGGACCTGTTAGGTCCGCACAAGAGCCCTATGGGATGAAGGCTAACACCGCTGCCGAACAAGCTGAATGCGACAGGGGCACAATCATGGCTTGCAGGGCAATCGACATGGCCACAGCGGTATGCCAGAAACCTCAGATCACGACGATACCCCCCGTGGCCACCTTAGAAAATCCTCCGCCGAGCAACACGGAAGGCCACATGTCCGCCTGGGAGCTCAGCGAGATGGACAAGTTCAGGTCGACCATGCCACATTATGAGGTGGAGTTCAACACGTGTGGATACGAGAGCAGGATCCCCATTGGCAAGAAACACTACAAACCACAGAGGTTTGAAGGATCCCTACAAGGACTCGGCACCCTCCGAAGAGAATGTCAATGTGGATACCCTGGCAACCACGAAGTTATCACGGGGCAAGACAGGTCCAAAGCCTCGGCAACCTACCCTGGTGAGCTTTGCCGAGAATATGCAAAGCTCGCCATATAGGGCAGCTCAAACGGATGGGGAAGGAGGAGTTCTACAAATCCCGAATGACATCCTTGCAGGACACCATCGACGCAGCGAAGGCTCGTGTGGTACACCGAGAGGAACCGCTCGACGCCGGCAAAGAAACCAAAGAGGAACCATCGCAAGGCTCAGCTCGAGTCAAGAGAACTTCAAGATCAAGGACTCCGCGCCGGGCACCACGGTATCCGTCGATGAGCCCACCGACAAGAAGGGAGTACAAGGCTGCCACAATGGACGAGAGACCAAGAAGCCCGGCGAGACGAAGGGGACGAGACAGAACACCCCTTCAGAGGAAGCGCAGGAGACCAAGAACTCCAGACGCCCCACAAAAGGAGCGCAAAGAGATGGTCTACCTGAAGCCGGCCGCAGACGTCAGGAGACAACTTGACCTAGAATGGCAAGGAGGCGAAGGAAAGTACGACATGCTGAAGAAATCCAACGCACAGGCAGCAAACCCAGCTCTGGCGGAGTACATAGGCGGGATGAGGGACCCGTACAAGGTGATGCTGGGCCGTTCAACAGCCCTCTCCTTGGGCATCAGAATCAGGGCCGCGTGGGAAGCCTTTGAAAAGCGGCACCCCAAAGCGACCGAGGTGGCGGAGTCCTATGGGACACCAGACTGCGCCCTGGACAAAGACTTGGTGCAGCTTTGGAAAGCAACGCTGAAGAAAACGTTGGGCGCGAATGCACCACCTTGTGTCAAGATGCGCCCAAGGTGGAAGTACATGTCACCGCTGGATCCAGAGCTGTTTGAGGCGTGGATCACAAGAGCCAGCGACCCGGATGACGTCATACCAGACTCAGAAGACTGGATCAGAAACGGAGCCCCCTTAGGGATAGAAGCAGAAATTCCGGTCAGGGGCATCTTCCCGAAGTATGACGACGAAGCCAACCTCGACTGCCAGACCAGCAAAGAATTAGAGGATGCAGCAGCGCAGCTCAGCCGAGGAGAGGTGTCTAACTATTCCTCGGTCAAGGACAACGTGGAAGATGCGAAGATTGAACTCGACCGTTACCGGCAAGAAGGCTACCTTGCAGACGTGCCCAAGGAAGTGGTCAAGGAGGAGATGAGCCACGGCACCATCAGCCGCCTGGGGCTCATAATCAAGCAGAAACCCGAAGGCGTCAAACGGCGCATCATCCTCGACCTCCGTAGGTCTGGTGGGAACCGGAAGGCACAACTTCCAGAAAAGCTGGTCTTGCCGCGGCCGAAAGACGCGGTGTCGATGATTCGAAACAACTTCAACCAGCGCCGAGTTCACAACGCCAGCGAAGGGTATTCCCGGGAGATGGCGGTCATCGACATCAGCGACGCCTTTATGGCATTGGCAGTCACAGAAAAGGAGCTGCCACACACCTTAGCTCCAGACGTGCAGTCGGACAATTTCGTATTGTTCTGCGCCCTACTGTTCGGGTACAAGACGGCACCATTGCTCTGGTCTAGAGTGGCCGCCTGCCTCGCCAGGTTCTTGCAATCGCTGTTTCAAGGAGGAGAAGCTCAACACCAAGTCTATTTGGATGACGGGCTCTGGATCCTCCAGGGCACGCTGAAGGAGCGCAACTCTGCACTCGCGCTCATACTCACAACGATGGGGGCTCTGGGCTTCAAAGTTTCACTCAAGAAAGGGCTACGGTCGACCCAAGTGCAATGGGTCGGGGTCCGATTCACCGTCACAGAGGACGCCATAATCCTAGGCCTACCCGAACAATTTGTGAAGGACTTGCTGGAGTTGATGATGGCCTGGGACAAACGAGGCATGGCTCCGATCAAAGAGCTACGTCAGGCAGCAGGAAAGCTGAGCTGGCTATCGGGCATTTTGCCCAGAGCCCGTTGGACGGTAGCTATCTTTTACAAAGTGCTACACGAACGATTGAATGACATTGCCACTGGCAAGGAGGATTCACGCAGGGCGAATCGTGACGACGCCCGCAACAAGGATGGGCTGTTCGTTGTCAAACAACTTGAACAGGCCAGGGCATGGTTGGTGAAATTCCTGTCAGTGGCAATGCTGTCACCTGTGCGCAAATACAAGCTGGACATCACCAAGTACCCGAAGGCCACAATCATGACCGATGCCTCACCCCTAGGCGCAGGGGCCGTGCTGCTGGTCAACAGCCGCATTGTGAGGGCCTATTCAACGAAAATCTCCCACAGAGATGCCAGACTCCTTCAGTTTGAAGACAAATGGGAACAATCAGCATCACAAGGCATCGCTGAGACATACGCCGTACTCCTGGCGTTGAAACACTGGGAGAAAGACCTGGCTAGCTGCCATGTAGAATTGCAAGTACAATCCGACAGCGTCGTGGCGCTGGCAACGTCGCAGAAACTGGCGAGCTCCAACCCGACTTTGAATTTCTTGGGGGCGGAGCTGGCCATACAGTGTGAGAAGGTAGGCATTGAGGGCCTAAAGTGCATCCACATCCCAGGGGCCGCCAACAGCGTGGCCGATTTTCTGAGTAGGCCTGACCGGATGGCAAAGGAAGATGTTCCCCAGGAACTCAAAGGAATCCCCTTGCACAAGGACGATGCACCCAGGGGTGGGGAGTTTTATCATCTTACGCCTCCGCAACTGGCCCCGGATTTGTGGGTAGCCTGCGGCGTGGCCAACGGATTTTGGCCGGATCTGCACTGAGATTGCAGAATGAATTTTACGGCAAAAACTTCAGCCACCGCATCGCTGTCGTTCACGTTTTAACATGTAGGTACATTCACACATCCGAAAATCCCACCTGTTTTCACTTTCAGGTGATTTAGGCTCAAATCATGACGCACTTAGTGCCCTTTTCTCCTCCTGAGGCACCGGCCGTTTTCATCGCGTCGCCAGCATCATGGACATTCCTAACGTTGTTGGTAACAAGCAGCATCCTCCTCAGCCTCCTCTTCGGCGCGAAGGCATTTTGCGAGTTCTTTTGGGACGCCCCGAAACGGCCACCGGCGAAAGTCACCCAAGCGGGCACCTCCTCCGCCTCCTCAAAAGGCCGGCAACCAACAACACTCCCTTGGTCGCGGTTTCCCAGGGAGGGAGTGGAACTGGCGACATTTGTAACAAGGATGGAACCAAGCTCGCCCCTGGTGACACGAAGGCCAGAAATATGGAGGAGCCAACAATTGAGGGGCAGGGAATGCTATTTGGTTTTGGATTGAATGACAACAACAGGATCCCTGACAATTACGGCACAGCATCCCTCTTTGACACGAAGGCGACGCCATCCAAAGCGAAAGAACCTGGAGAAACACAAAAGGAAGCCAAAACCCAGTCGGAGAAGGACCCAGACTTCTACAAGTTTCCGCCTGCACCGCCACCGCAAGGGACCAAACCCGCTGCCGCAAGTGGACCTTGGTGGAGAGACTTGTTATCTTCCCCGGTGAAGAGGCTCAGACTCGGTCAGTGGGGTCATAAGACGCAGGGTAGCGGCACACCAAATTTTCTTCTGCCGCCACCTCTACAAGAACAACGCGTGCCGGAGACTGTCAACGTCGACACCTCTCCATCATCAGAAGCCGAACCAACTCGAACCACGCCAAGGGCGAAAACCAGAAGGAAAGATTTGCCAAAGCGGCCATCAGCACGGAACATGCCGAAACCCACCAGACACAACGCAGTCAGGTTAGCCACCGCCAAGAAGAATGCAGGGGACCTGGTCAAGTCAGTGGAGATGGATTTCTATGCCAATTCGTCCAGAGCCGCGAAGTCTTCCAGGAGGAAAACGGTGGAAAACATCTTAAACGCAGGGAAGTTTTCTCTGCCTCTCACTCCAACCTCCCTGAAGTTCCTGGTCGGCACACTGAAGGAAGCAGGTTACAAATCCTCCCACATTTATTTGGCAGAGGCAAAGACCTTGCAGGTGGAGAAGGGTTTCGAATGGTCACTGCTGTTGGAGCGCAACTACAAGTTGTGTATGGCGGCCGCAAAACGTGGGGCAGGCCCAAAGAGAAAAGCTGTGGAAGTGCCTGAAAACATCTGGGCCGCACACCCCCTCCTACAACACACACCGAGGCAGGGCTTCAAGACAGAGCTACCGGCTCTACTCTTCGCATGCGGCGTACATTGGATGATGAGAGAGATTGAGTTAGCAGATCTCAAGTCCTCCAACGTGAAGTTCGACGAAAGGAAGCGCATGGTGACCATCACTTGGGATCAGTCCAAAATGGACACAGAATGCCGAGGGCTATCCAGAACCTTGCAGTGTATCTGCAACGAAGGGTGTGATCTCAGGTGCCCCTACGCAGTCCTGGAAGTCCTGGTCAACAGCGCTACCCTGAAGGGCACGAAGGAAGGCCACATCGCCTATTGCAAAACAGGTCAAGTGGCCACCAAGACGGAAATCGTCAACGACTGGCAGAAACTTCACGGCAAAAAGGTCACGGGCCATTCCACCCGAAGGTCCGGGGCCCTTCAATACATCCGCAAAGGATGGGCGGTGAGTCAAGTGGGCTACCTGGGGCGTTGGAAAAGCAACGTCATTCTTGAATATGCCCAAGAGGCTTTGGAATCGATGGCCATTAACGCCTCAAACACCTTCGGCACAAACTCCATTGAGCCCTCCACCAACACGAAGGCTCTTTCGCTCTCGGACATGCTGGCCATCTCCAAACAGGTGGACAACAAAGTGGACAAGGAGCTAGTTCAGCGCCTGAAAGATGAACTGGAGTCCCTCAAGGAAGACTCTACAGGCTCAAACCGAGCGCTGACAAACGCCATAAAGAACATCGAAGAGAAAATGGACGTGTCAGCGAAATATTTACCTCCTCTGGTGAAATCAGCTCGACATCAAGCGGCCCACAGGAACGTAAAGACCCTGGTCTTCTCCCCCTCATCAACCTGGAGAACATCCTGTGGCTGGTACTACTACCTCGCCAACTACCAGTTCATGGAAGGCCACGAGGATCTGGTTAGCTGTGCGAAGTGCGCTCAGTCTGCGCAACGCAAAGAGGTGGAAGGGGCAGACTAATGAAGCGCCCAAATGTCAGAAACCTGAAAGGCCTGACAAATGCGAATCCAGGTTGATGCATCTTTCCGACCAACTTGAAAAATTTGCGAGCTGCAGGGTGGGAGGTGGACTATCTCTCATTGACACCTGCGGTTGTCGTAAAAGAAAAACAGCAGGTTTTTCTGCATGACAATGAAGCTGGTGGCATGGTCGGGCCATTTTGGCTCAAGGCTGACCTGCCACCAGCACCATGTTGCCTTTTCTTTCCACACCCATCCCGCCCAATTGAGGTGGAGGTGGAAGGGGCAGACTAATGAAGCGCCCAAATGTCAGAAACCTGAAAGGCCTGACAAATTCGAATCCAGGTTGATGCATCTTTCCGACCAACTTGAAAAATTTGCGAGCTGCAGGGTGGGAGGTGGACTATCTCTCATTGACACCTGCGGTTGTCTGGAACTGTCTGGAGGTTTAAAACATTTTCATTTTTCAAGGCAAGTCCATTGTTGATTAGGTGCAGCAATTGTTTGATGTGATTAGGTGCAGCCCAGCGGAATTACAAATGACGTTAGATGGGGACTGCAGTGGGATGGAGACAAAAAAGTTTGTTTTCGAAACATGAAGAGAAATGCATAACCTCTGGCAATCTAAGAAGGTAACTCATCTTCAAACGGGTTCATAACCATGGCTATGTCATCAAAATTGCCAGATGGTAGATACTACGAAGGACGCTGAGTGTCTGCGCGCGGTGCGCTGATGCGAAGATTTGTCAGGCTCGAATGCTGGAGGCGGAAGCAGAGGCCAGAGATGCACTGTGCGTTCCTCAAGGTGCGAAGGATTCATCTAAGGTAGGATCCAGGATCCTGCTATAGGTCCATACATGGTCCTACTATGCTTCCCCACCACATTTCATTTTCTAGTGGTAGCCTATGGTAGCTTGGTATTCTGGTGAGATATGAAACTTGTTGCCGGAAAACCTTGCCTTGATCAGATTGATGCTGCCTGTCAGCTGCCACTCTGAGATGCTCTGAGGCTTCAACTTTTCCGCGATCTTTGCCGAAAGCACGGTGCTGCCCTTTTCTCAGTCTATAAGGACCTTGCTGCGGGCAAGGAAGTCAGTGGAAGGGTTCATTGCCAGACAGGACAAGAGATGACAAAAGCCACTAAAATCCTGGTACTGCCACTGAACTTGTCACATAATTACTGTAGGCAGTAGGATCTCCTGGAAAGGAACATGTTTGGTCGATCCATGCACTCCCCATCGGGGAAACATTTGAGGTCTATGACCTTTGCCCGCTCCTTCGCCCTGTTCGTAGAGAAGTGCCTGAAAGTGGTGCCCATTCGCCCAGTGCTGTTTGGTGCTTAGCTCCATCCAAACCTGAGCCGCCAAAGCTTGCTGGGGTGAATACTGTAGATGATTGTAGATGCATGAATATTATACAATATTATATAATATTATGATATGCCACAAAATCACGGGGAAACAGAACACATTTGGAGCACATCTGGCCAAGGGTCCTAAATCACGTAGTATTCAACTTTGCGACGAGTTGCGCTTTTGAAACATTGCCATGAGTTGCCTTCAGAAAAACACAGTTCAGAAGTTCAATTTGGTGCTGGACTGGGATATCAGCAAGGTAATTTCGAAAGGTCCCACCATGCCGCCAGCGGTGCGACTTGTTGTGGGGGTCCCGAATGCTAGTGATGGACAGTGCTGTGACGAAGCATTCTCGTCGTCTAAATCACCGCCAGATTAGTTTTGAGATTCCCAGCCAGTACGGAGCGACCCAGGGAAAAAAGAGAGAGAGAGAGAGATAGGGAATAGAGATCTCGATTCATGAATAGAGTATCCATCTTATAGTCTGTCTATTGATCTATCCATCTACCCAATTATCTGTGTATCTACTACCTATCATGTATCTATCTATCTTATATAATCTTATATGTATCTCCGGCCCGGTAGTTAAGATGTCTATCATGAATGTTGCTTCTATAGTGTGTTGGCTTAAGCTCTCATATGCTCTGTTCCCGGTGCCATAACTATCCCGGAAACCCGTGCGCCAGCTGCAGAACCTTATCTCGAATCCACTTCCTCCTCGAGAGGAACCAGCTGCCGGTGAGTTCGGAGAGCCGGGTGGTGAGCGCCCTGAGGTCTGCGGCTGGGGAGCTCTGCGACGTGGTGGAGCAGTTTGGGGTTTTCAGGACTCAGCCTTTGTCGGGAGCACCACCTGCTCCTGAGGAGACGGAAGGAGGAGCACCGGGAGGAGAAAAAGAAAGGCAGTCAGAGAAGGCCGCAAAGAAGAAAGACAAAAAGAAGCATCGCAAAGAAGAGGAGGTCGGAAAGAAGGAAGAGGAGACGGGAGTAAAGGAGACTCCTGCATCGAGTACGGGAGTGGAGGAGACTCCTGAAGCACCGGCCTTGGAAGCTGCTGGACCGGAGGAGATCAGAAGGTTGAAGGCAGAGCCAAGAGACGAGAATAAGGCAGGCGAGACGACCAGGGAGTCCCGGCTACAAGAGGAGGTTGATCAGTACGCGGAAGCCCATCCCGTGAGATTTGGGCTGGGTAGCATTACCCCGAGGGGTTCTGCAGCCAGGCATTTTAGAAAGCACGACGAGGAGCTTTCTCGAAGACCGGCCGAGCCCGAGGGGCCACCTCCGAGGAGAGACAGAGAGGGACCGGCACCGAGAGAGAGATCGCGATCAAGACAACAGAAGAAGAAGAAAAAATCGAAGGGCGAGGCCCACAGGCAGAGAGGAAGAGATTATTGGAGGAGAGGCAGGCAAGGGTAGATATGCCGCCCAAAGCGAAAGCAAAGGCAAGGATGCGCGCCCGCGGGAGGATTCCTCCTGGAGGAGGGGCGCTGAGGAGGCCAGCAGGCCGAGGATTGAGGAGGCCAGCTGCAGCAGGAGAAGGCCTGGGCGAGGAGATCACGCGGAAATGGACCAATGGGGAGATAGTGCCCTTGCGACACCTGGATCCACGAGAAGTGAGCGGGTGTCAAGTCCTGGTGATAGAGGAAGGAACCTACTATCACCAACCAGTCAAGGTCGCCGGCAATGTGACCAGCGTGACTCTCCAAGAGGGCACGTGGCTTTTGAGGATGAAATTGACTGGGACGCAGGACGAGGGCATACTCCGTTTCCATACAGGGCACCCCGATCAGGAGTTTCGGGTGCATGTATGCGAGGAGGGTTGCAACCAGGAGGTGGCAGCCGACGATTTGGTCCATGGCGTGAAAGGTCGCCAAGGGAAACCTCGAGGCGCCGAAGAGGAATGGACCCGCAATCTGGTCAAGGAGAAGGTGGACGAGCCCAACCGGGACGAGCTAGCAGAGCTCCGAGCGCGGGGCGAGGCAGTGATAGGAGATGCAGCACAGAAGGAGGGCCCCCGAGGAGATACAGAGAAGGAGAAAAAGAAGAAAAAGAGTGTAGAGAGAGGCAAGAGAAAGAAAAAAGAGAAGAAGGAAAAGAAGGCCAAGGAGGAGAAGAAGAGGAGAAAATCGAGCGGGAGCGCAAGCTCCTTGAGCGATGGCGAGGTCAAGGTGGACGGCTCAGAAGCGAAGGCAGCTGCCCAAAAGGCCCCAAAGGCTTTGTTCAGAGGGACGGGCCTAGATCCGAGGGACCGCGTGAGAAATCGCGTTGCCCGGAAGGCCAGGAGGCACTTGAAGAAGAAGGTGGACAAAAGCTCCTCGAACAGCAGCGGGAGTTCCACGAGCAGTGCGTCGACGAGAGGGGGCGAACAGGAGGAAGAGAGCATCTTCGAAGGAGCCTCAAAAGTCCGAAGGGTAGCCGACCGCTATCCTGGCGCCCTATGCAACCAGGCCCTGAAACAGATGCGGGCCACGCTCCTTCAAGAGGTGGGCTTCCAAGACCGCCCGAATGTGCTGTACCCAGCTGCAGTGGCTTACTACCGCCAGCAGCTGCAGAAAAAGGTGAGTGGGCCGACGCAGCGGGAGCTCATGACGTTGACCCATGCCGTCGACCAGCTGCTGCGAGGAAAAGCGGCCAGTGCGGCGGACACTCTGGTTCAGAGGATCAAGAGTGTAGAGCACACAGCCTCGGGAAGTCACTGGTCAGTATCTCAAAGACTGGAGATACTGCCGGCAGAGGGCACCGGGCTGACAGCGGTCCCAGAGTCGACCGCAGCTCAGAGGGAGGTCTACCAGGAAGCCAAAGCGAGATGGTTTGCAACCTTTCCGGAGGGGAAGGGACAGAAGGGCAACAAGAGCCAAGGAAAAGGACGCGGAGAAGGCAAAGATCGGACCAGTTGGGGGCAGGAGCGCGACAAGAAAGGAAAGAACAAAGGAGGAAAGGCAGAAGCCAGCACAAAGAAAGATTGAAGACAGGAGGCTCTGAGGAGAAAAGACATGAGGCGTCTCCGAGAGTAGCTGCTCTTGATGAGACGTATGATGGCGCCGATGGAGAGAAGACCGGGAGCTATGAGGGAGGAATGGTAGCGGCCTCCCCTCCCTGCAATGAAGAGGGCGCCGCCGAGGGGCGCGTGGAGCCATTGGCCCATGCTTATGAGCCGCCTGGGCAATCAGTGCATGTGTTGCCAGCGAAGCCTGGCGCCGAGGATGGAATTCATTTTGACAAAGGGCTGCCGTCTGGGCCGACCGGCCTGGTGGAACAGGACATCGAAATGATTGACCCTGAGACTTTTGGCACCCAGAAAAAAGATGACGCGCTTTTTCAGGTGGAAGGGAGAACTTTGGGATCCTGTGGCCATGTTTTACTTAGGGAACTCCTAGGGGTTATTTCACTTCGCAGCCAGCCCACGGGTAGGAGAGACGGAAAGGCATTGTTTCCCCTGCCTACTTCTAGGAGGGTCCTTAAGGAACATGTTCCACTGGTGACTGAAGATGAGATGGATTGGATGGTGGTCGTTTGTCTTTCTTTGAATTCAATGTGGGGTGACTTGGTTTATTGGGATGGATGTCCACATGCCGGACAAGTGACCTGTCTGGTGGAACTTGGGCAACAAGTGACACGCATTTGCAGCATGCAAGTTGTCGTACAGCCGCTGGACTGGGAGTCGCTTTTCAAGGTTAAGACTGTTGACTACCAGGGTGAGGAAGTCAAAGTGGCGAAGTGGTTCAACTGGTCAAACATCTCACCGGCCTTGCCCAATGAGGTGGGTGTGGTTCCCCTTGAGTCAGTGTGTAGTCTGGGCTGTTACCACTATGTCACTCACTTCGATGAATACCTCAAACCCTCCAATGAATGGATTGGAGTACGGGCACCCCGTGTGATGGTGGAGGACACCCTTTGGGGAGAAGTTTGTCAGGGTCTCGTCAAGTCGGGTGTTTGTACCTTTTTAGAGGAGTCGGAAGTCTTTCGGATGGGTGATGAGCTGTTGTTGAACGCGCTTTTTGGAGTGAGTAAAGAAGATTGGACTGCCGAGGGAACCGAGATTTATCGCTTGATAATGAATTTGGTTCCCTTGAACGCAATCTGCCGGCCAATGGCTGGAGACGTGGAAACCCTGCCTTCGTGGGGGGCCATGAGTCCATTCTTCCTCCAGCCTAGTGAAAACTTGCTTGTCAGCTCCGAAGATGTGAAGTGCTTCTTTTATACCATGAGGGTACCGGAGGCTTGGGTCAAATTTCTGGCCTTCAACAAGGCCGTCCCTGATGAGGCCTTGCCTGAAGGTCTGCGGGGGCAGAAAGTCTACCTCGCCTCTCGAGTATTGCCAATGGGGTTCCTGAACAGTGTCAGCCTTGCGCAACACGTGCATAGGAATCTGGTTTCATGGAGTTTGGCGGGAACCCCCGTGGAGAGCGGGGAGCAGAACGCCCCTGAATTGGAACTCAGAAAAGATCGAAGCTTTTCGGTTGGCAACCCAAACTGGAGAGTCTATTTGGACAACTATGACTTGAGAGAGTAGAGTCTACCAGTATGGTGGACATGGAAGGGACTGTTGCTCCAGGGGTCCTAGCCCTTCGACAAGAATATCAGCGGTGGCAGGTACCACGCAACGAAAAGAAGGCGGTGCAACGCGCTGGGCATTGCGAGATGCAAGGAGCTACTATTGATGGGGTGGCTGGCCTGGCCTACCCTCGGGAGTCCAAGCTCTGCCGCTATTTTGCTCTGGGGATGCGGCTAGCTCAGGCTGGCAAAGGGACGCAGAAGCAGTGGCAGGTGGTGTGCGGTGGCCTTGTATACTTCAGCATGTTTCGAAGGCCACTGCTGGGCTCGCTCAATGCTGTGTGGCGTCACATTGAAAGCTTCAATCAGGCCGGGAGGCGGGTCAGGCTCACCCCTCCTGAGTGCACTGTGGAACTATTGCGGTTCCTGGGAATGCTGCCGTTAGCCAAATTGGACTTTAGGCTGGACATGCATCCTCAAGTCACTTGCAGTGATGCGTCCGGGGATGGAGGTGGAATTTGCGCCTCCGCGGGTACCACCGCTGTTGGCTCTGTGATTGCAGCGGGAGCTCTTCGAGGCCAGCTTCCGGAAGCACGCCTTGATGGGGGCATCCTGGTTATTGGTCTTTTTGACGGAATCGGGGCTCTTCGCGTGGCAGTTGACGCCCTGAAGGTGCCGGTGTCGGGCTATATTTCCGTAGAAAAACATGATCCTGCCGGTCGAGTCGTGGAGAAGCATTTTGCGGGGGTGGTCCGCTACCCACGGGTAGAGGACATTACCCCTGAAACAGTCAAAGAATGGAGCACCCGCTATTCCCAGACAAGCCTGGTGGTCATCGGGGCAGGCCCGCCCTGCCAAAAAGTCAGTGGACTGAACTGGGACAGAAAGGGGGCCCTGAAGGATGAAAGGTCTTGCTTGTTCAAAGAGGTTCCACGCATCAGGGATGAAGTCAAAAAGCATTTCCCATGGTGTCCTACCTATGTGATGATGGAGTCAGTGGCCTCTATGGATAAGGTTGACCGGGATATCATGACGCAGGCGATTGGGTGCTTGCCACTGAAGTGCGATGCGGGAACCTTCACATGGTGCCACCGACCGCGGCTTTACTGGTGCGATTGGGAAATCATTGCAGCTGAAGGGTATCACCTATCAACCGAGACAGGAACAGGGTTGAACACCCTCACCCTACAAGGCAGCCAGGACTTCTCTGATGTGATCCGGGCAGGCTGGTGGAAGGTGGACCCCAGCAAAGCATTTCCTACTTTCACCACGTCACGGCCGCGCTCGGTTCCAGGGCGGAAGCCGGCGGGAGTGCAACAGTGCTCCTTGATGGAACTACAACGATGGGCATCAGATTCCCATCGATTTCCCCCCTATCAATACTGTGAGGTCCATTGTTTGGTGAATAAGAGCAATACGTTGCGACTGCCAGATGTGGCAGAACGTGAACTCATGATGGGTTTTCCCTTGCACTACACCGCGGGTTGTCTGGCAAAAGGTAAGCAGAAAGGTCCTGAGTACAATGATTGCAGACTGACATTGCTTGGCAATTCATGGAGTGTGCCAGTGGTCGCTTGCTTGTTGCTGCAGCTTTTTGCTAGGCTGGGGCTCGTGAAATGGTGTTCCGCCCAAAACGTCCTCGAGAGTCTCCGCCCTGGATATTGTCCCACAGCGCAAGGTAGGCTTTTTCGTCTGCCTCTCAATAAGCCGGGACAATCGGGGTCAGACTGCTCTCAAGAACTGGCTCAGAAGCTTGGGAACCTTATCTCAGTCAAGGGAGAAGATATCATGCTTACTACGCCCAGTACTCAGCTGGCACGCTTCCAACGCCTGAGAGCTACGGTTCCAGGTCGATGCTGGAAGTGGAAGATCGTCGCCGGGTGGACCTGGAAACGCAAAGGCGACCATATTAATGGGTTGGAACTGCGTGCCATACTCACTTCACTGAAATGGAGGTTAGAGCATTGTCAGCACTTCAAAACTCGGTTTATCCATTTGACCGATAGTTTAGTTTGTCTTCACTCGTTATCCAGGGGAAGGAGTAGCTCGAAGAAGCTGCGTAGGCCTATGTCTCGTATCAATGCACTTATCTTGGTTTCTGGCACCCAGCCTCTGTGGGGCTATATTCATACAGATCAGAACCCAGCTGATAAGCCCAGTAGATGGGGCCAGCGGGTTCGCACAAAATTCAGGAACAATGCCAAAGCGTAAAATTTTGGAACAGTCAGAGGCCAAAGATCGTGCGAAGCAGAGACAAAACCTGGGAACGTTAAGACAGTTGACAGTGCAGCCTGCTACACGCAAAAGGTATGACAATGCTACAACAGCTTTTTTCCTCTTCCTCAAAAAAGAAGGGATCGTTATCCCGACCCGAAAAGAAGACCTGGATCCTATTCTGTGTGATTACCTGGAATATCTATGGAGCACGGGAGTTGGCCGTGGGCAAGCCAATGACACCGTGGCTGGCCTTCAGGATGTTCAACCGAACCTACGGGGCCGCTTGCCGGGAGCCTGGAGGCTCCTGAAGACTTGGGCAGTGAATGAGATCCCTAACCGGGCACCTCCGCTGCCGGAACAGGTTGTGCAAGCAATGGCAGGTTGGGCATTCTTTCATGGGCACTACTCCTTTGGCATCTCCCTCATTCTAGGATTCTATACTATGCTAAGGTCAGGTGAACTGCTAGGGCTTCGGTCATCACATATTCTGTCGTCACCAGCTGAGCGTCAAGTTTTAATATCCCTAGGATTTACTAAAGGAGGCAAACGGCAGGGGGCTGCAGAATCTGTTATCCTGGGTGTTGAACGAGCAGTTCAGTTGGTCCAACGATGGAAGAAACTGGCCTCGCCCTCCACTTCAATCACTGACACTCCATCCAAATGGAGAAGCCGTTTTTCAGAATGTCTCAAAGCTTTGGGACTGGAACGTTTTGAGTTTAGACCCTATTCTCTCAGGCGCGGCGGCGCCACGTGGTGGTTTTCTAAGCATCATAGTTTGGATCGTATTCTTGTACAGGGGCGTTGGCTGGCCCATAAAACAGCAAGAATATATCTGAACGAAGGACTGGCGATGCTAGCTCGCACGAACATTGATTTTAGAGACCCCACTTTGGCTGGATTTCTGCAAATTTATCAGAATACCTGTTCCTCTTTGAGTTTCACCACACTTGAGCCTCCAGCTAAAGCTGGAAGAGCTGGGGGTCGTGGGAAGAAAGCAAAGTCACGGGTGAGGAAGCGTGTCAAAAAATTTTTTTCTGTGCATTCGGATTCGATTTCGGGGTTGACCGCTGATTTCAAGAGGACATGGAAACAGGAGGTGTGGCTCGTTTCTGTGCCTTTGAAATGAGCCTTAGAACTCAGTCACTTTGGGTGTGGCCAAGTGAACTGAGGGGGCTTGCAGATGGGGATGCCGGGGGTCAACCCCTGATGTTTTTGGTTTTGGTTATTGTTTACTTGACAAATTTGCTGCGAAGTGAGCAAAAATGAGTGAATGACATCTTTGTATCTCCGGCCCGGTAGTTAAGATGTCTATCATGAATGTTGCTTCTATAGTGTGTTGGCTTAAGCTCCCACCCTCCCACCCGGGAGTTTCGACTCCTGACGGTGGGAAGAAAGCAAAGTCACGGGTGAGGAAGCGTGTCAAAAAAAAAAAATCTGTGCATTCGGATTCGATTTCGGGGTTGACCGCTGATTTCAAGAGGACATGGAAACAGGAGGTGTGGCTCGTTTCTGTGCCTTTGAAATGAGCCTTAGAACTCAGTCACTTTGGGTGTGGCCAAGTGAACTGAGGGGGCTTGCAGATGGGGATGCCGGGGGTCAACCCCTGATGTTTTTGGTTTTGGTTATTGTTTACTTGACAAATTTGCTGCGAAGTGAGCAAAAATGAGTGAATGACATCTTTATATATAATATATATATATATGAGATTCCGTCAAAATTTGGGCAAAAGCACAAGTGGGCCCCAACGCGCGCAAACAAAGATCGCCAAGGATGAGGATGCAAGTGGATGCGCTTCAACACTATGCTTAAACAAAGGGAAAACTTTGTCAAAATATGTAAAAACAGGAAACCCTGTAAAACGATAGGGGACTCACTAACTTGATGACGCACTTGACGTAAACAATAAATTTCGACCGTGGCTCATATATACCTGTCTTTATACCGATCGTCGATCGTTAAGTTATATTTGTCTATGTTTGTACCCATCCTAATATCAATATTTTTAATATTTCTTTTATAATATATGTCTTCCTTTTTTTTATCTATCTGTCTTTTATCGATCTAGCTATCTATCCATCCATTCCATGCATCCGTCTATCGATCTATCGATCTATCAATCGAACGCTCTAATCTAATCCAACCTAAATCTAAACCTAAGTCCAAGTCTAATGAAATCTATATAGTCTAATCTAATCTAACCTGATCTAAGTCAAATCCAATCCAACCTAATCTATCTATCTATCTATCTATTTAATCACAACGTGAGTTGTGTGAGTTTGCACAGGTTGCTTATGCCCAATGCAATCTCTGCGAAGACTTTTTGGTGAGTTGACGGCTCCAGCCGTCGTTGATGCAGGATGCTGGCAACACCCTTGTTGAGCTTCGTGCCAACTTGCCGGGCTCTGAGCCGCCGGTGGTCAAAATTGTCCAGTCCTAGGCCTAGAACATTGACACACGCACATATACGTAGATTTTATATATGTATACATTATATACATGCATATATGCTCAACATAAATATATATCTATAAACAGATGCAAAAATGTACGTAGATATAAATGTAATATGTATTATTGAAAACATCTATTTTTTTTGGTAATATGTTACGTACATATATATAAATAAATGTTTAACTATATTAACAGAAAACTAAATAAAATGAATAAATAAGATAAATAAATGGTTATATATAATTATATGTATATACATATTAAAAAAATATATACCTGCGTCTTCCAATGTAATATGCAAAATTATTGCCTTTTCAGGAATTATTGCTGGCGGCATTTTTTCTGCCTCCGAACAGACTTTGCATTTTTGTCATTTTGCATGTGTTTGCCGGTTTTGAAACGGCGAAAACCCAACGAAACGGCGAAAAAAACTGGAAACGGCGAGAATTTAGGCAACCGGCGGTAATTTGCTGTTTCGGATTTCGAGCCATAATTTTGCACAGGTGGATTATCCAGGTATATATTTCTATATAACCACGTATATATATATATAGTAGTTTATATACTTTTGTATAGTGGTACTGAGCCTCGTGTCCTGGTTCCAAATCCAAGCATCCTCGGAACTGATGCCTTCCACCAAGAACCGAACCTTTCGTCCGTGCTGTGGCTGCGCGCTATGCGCAGAGGGAAGATGTGGAGGCGACATGTTGCCGACATCCACCAATCTGATATAGTTTGATCCGGGTTTCGCTTCTTATCCTGTGCCGTTTGCCATAATTGTCTGTTGCAGGATGCTGAGCTTCTGCAAGTGGCGTTGTAAATTCTTTGCAGCAGCTGTGAATACGATATATTTTCTGGCAAGTTGATAGTGCCTGTGAAACAAAACACTCTCAGCAACTCCTTAATTTGTATTATATATATGTATGTACAATACATCTATTCGAGGGGTGTTTGTTGCCAATGCTACGCAAGGTTTCTTTCAATTCTTGTTTGTTGTAACTTATGCTGTTGCCCAGGCAGTGGGGCAGCAACAAGTCCGGAGATACCATGTCAGCACCGTGTATCGGGAGGCACCAGTTTAAAGGTCGAGGCGTCTCAAGCCGAATGTGTCATGTGTTGGAGGCACCAAGCTCGGAAGTCTATGCACAATCACAGTGAGGAACCTGGTGACATTTGGTGATTCTGTTGACTAGTGGAAGTTACCCAAGCAAATCCCCAGATATCCCCAGACAAACTGAAGTTAGTTTGCAAAAAATGTTTGAAGTGTGATGAAGTGTGGAAAATGAGTGGTGAATCAATATATGAACCCCAGGTTTGGACATCCTCGTGAAGTTTCTTCTGCGGTCGTGCAGTTCTTTTGGCACGCCTGGCGTGTTTTTGCAGGCTATTCGGCGCTAAGCCGCTATTGAGCTTGTACGTTGTGACAGGCAGCCACCGATGAGCGGAAACGGAAAAGACCAGGACAGCATCTGTAAATGGCTGGTTGAGACCAGTCATATTTGTGTGCCTTTGGGCCAAGTAATATAGATGGATATAGCATAATTATATATAATTATAATTATATACAAACTACGTGCCATTTGTGGATGTTTCGGGGGCTTCGGCATCCTTCATCCATGTTGATGAGTCCAGACGGGGTCATGCCACCTGATGGCAACATATGGCAACCCACGGTGGTGAAAACATGAAAACAGCAATCCAGGACACCTCGGACTCCCTGGGCCCGTTCGGCTCGCTTCTGAGTTTATGCTGATACTAAGGAGCAGATCAACTGATGATCCTAGTGATCATGAATTATGATATTGGGTGATATTTCCACGGGTGCAAAAGCGCACAAGAACACACAGAAGCAAGGTTTTTGAAATATGTGTTGGTGACATTTGGTGAAAAAAACCATGGGTTTTGGAGCACGTTTATTCACATTCCACAATGCTCTCCAAGCGAGAGAGCGTGAAAAAGCCAGACTAGCTTAAGCTGCTTTATGAAAGACCCCGAAAGACATTGACATGTCATGTCGACTTGCGAAGTCAGCATGGCTCTTTGAGCATTCCATGGTCCAAAGAATGCCAAAGAACCCCCAAATGTGGGTGCAAGACGAAACTTGGGAGCAATCAAGAAGCTACCGCTCCATACCCCTACCTTGTGCATCCCAGAGATGCGATTTTTTTCTTCTTGATTCTTGCCCAAGAACGTAAACAATCTTACATAAACATCTTAAATGCCTGCATTTTATGAGCCATGGCAGAGATTCCTTTGCCCTGGCACACCTTGAGGCTTGCATGCATGACAAAGATTGTGAAGCTTTCTTTGTTCAAGATTGGGGCATGCGGACAACATGTTTGGGGATTTGCAAATTATTTGAACGTGTGGCAACCATTCGAAACTGTGATGCCTCACGTTTTCCATTTTCTGTCTGCACCTGGTCTCCTGTACGGCAGGTACCCCACAATTCACCTGGTGATACTTCTGGTTTTGGGGAACACGTTTGGGAGTTGCAAGGTCATCATCCCTCCGACCGTAGCTGTGCTCAAAAACTATGGTACTTTGGAGGGATCGGGCTGAACATAGACGGAACATGGCTGATTTGCATCGTAGCCAAAGGCGACATTTTGTGACACAAAACCCATCTGAATCCACCATTCATGGCCTCAGCGATATGATCTTCCAAGGTAGAAGCAGGACAAGGGTGAGCACCCAGTCACGATGGTTTGGCAATGGTCATTGCGAGTGAAGCGATGACTTTAGAATTGGTATCTAAAAGCTCTGAGCATGCTGACCAGTTTTCTGCAACGGATTTGCGCGAAACAACGGGCCCATATATTATATACTAAAAGTTGAATATAGATAGATATAAAGTGGCTGATATTTATTTATTTATATATTTATATATACATACATACATACACGCACAAAAATGTACATATACTATATATATATATATATGCAAACATAGATGGACATATTTGATCATATATGGATACAGACAAAGGCATGAAGATAGATGGATAGATAGATAGATAGATAGATAGAATTAGATTATAGATTAGATTAGATTAGATTGATAGATAGATAGATGGATAATGATAGATAGATAATGATAGATAGATAATGATAGATAGATAATGATAGATAGATAATGATTCTAGATAGATAATGATAGATAGATAATGATAGATAGATAATGATAGATAGACAATGATAGATAGATAATGATAGATAGATAATGATAGATAGATAATGATAGATAGCTAATGATAGATAGATAATGATAGATAGATAGTGATAGATAGGTAGATAGATAGATAGGTAGATAGATAGGTAGATAGGTAGATAGATAGGTAGATAGATAGATAGGTAGATAGATAGATAGGTAGATAGATAGATAGATAGGTAGATAGATAGATAGGCAGATAGGTAGATAGATAGATAGGTAGATTGTTAGATAGATAGGCAGATAGGTAGATAGATAGATAGGTAGATAGATAGATAGATACAAAGGTAGATAGATAGATAGATAGGTAGATAGATAGATAAATAGATAGGTAGATAGATAGATAGGTAGATTGTTAGATAGATAGGCAGATAGGTAGATAGATAGGTAGATAGATAGATACAAAGGTAGATAGATAGATAGATAGGTAGATAGATAGATTTATAGGTAGATAGATAGATAGGTAGATAGATAGATAGATTTAATTATAGGTAGACAGATAGATAGGTAGATAGATAGATAGATAGATTTATAGGTAGATAGATAGATGTGCAATATCTCACCACATATATAGACAGGTGCACATGCATATATGTAATATATGTGCATGTATAGACGTAAAGCGCTGGATGTCCACCAAGCCCACCGGTTCGAACAAAATCGCTGCGTCAGGAGCTTCAGACTTTGGAGGTGGTTATGAGATGCCAGGGCATGGCCGATGGATGCAGGACTACCCATTCCACTCCCATCATTTCAACCGGAAAATCATGGGAAAATCATGGGAACATCATATTTTCCCAATCTTCTCGGGGGTCATGTTCCATGTTCATACTTGATTCTAGTAGTGGGTATGGGCACCGAAGTACAAGGGAACGTCCTATGGGCGTCGACAGTGTCGTTGTGTCGTGTCTCCAGGAGGTTGGACATCGAAAGACCGTAGAGGTGTTGGAAAACATTCCAGATTGGGAGACTTTCTACCGAGACTATGTGCGAAGAAATCGAGCCCTGACGACGGCTGCAAGTTGCTGGTAAAACCATGGTTTTCACCCCTAGATGTGAAATTGGCATAAATTGGATGGGCAAAGAATGGAGGGAGAGAGGGCATTTGTGCATTTGTTATCATTTGTTGCTTTGTAGTTTTTCAGCATTGGTTTGGCAGATGTCTTGCTTTGTATGCGTTCTGAGGACCAGTTGTGCTGAAGAATGCAGCACGGAAACAGCATTTCAGCTGCACATGTTCCTATCCATGAAGTGGCACAAGCATGTGCACGCCTAAAGTTGAAAAGCAATGTCTTTGAACATGCAATACATGCATAAGCTTCAAACAGCTGAGGCAAGCTTTCAGCAAATGGACAGATGAGTACTTGCTGCAGCTGTGGGGTAAACGTCGAGTCATCGATGTAGAGATCAAAAAGGACCCCGATTAGTGCAACCAGACATGGTTTGCCGTGCATGCTACAGTCACTGTGTTGAACATCAATTTGGCTTCGATACTACACTGTCACAAACTCCCAGAGACATGAATCAGAATCATAATTATAATTGGAATCCGCATGAACACACAATGATTCCCTGCTTTTTCTTGCGCCTTAGTATGCTTATAATGTTACATAAATATGTGGTTTGCCACCTACTGTAGCAGCCAACAACCGCAGGTTGAAGAGCGAGGAGGTCCTTCCGAGCAGTGGCCCTTTGAGAAATTCGTCCGGGAAATGCACAAGGCCAGGCGAGAAGAAGACGAATGAAGTAGAGGAATGGTCGGAATGGTTCAATAAAGGGAGGGAGAGACTGGATTGATGGAATTGATTATTGACTCGATTCTGGATTTGATTATCAAATCAAATAATTTCACTATTAGATGATGGACCCATAAAGTGATTCGTCATGTTTCTCCATTATGATAGCCATCCAGTGGAGCTGGCCAGGTGGAGAGAAAAGATGAACTCTACGCACCTTGCCTGTTGCGATCATGAGATTGCCAACGGGCCAACAAGGTCGAACTCGCACGCAACGCCAAGAGGTGTTTTTCAACTGAGGGTCGGCTAAATGGCCAAATCTCTTTGAAGTAGAATTACTCTACAGTAAACGCACTAATTGAATCCATCAAGAATATCTTGATCCAAACTTGTCCTCAATTTGGTGTAGAACTGTTTGGCGAGATATTTGGCAGCCGTGACACCCTGACAGCTTGAGGCTGTAATAGGCTTCGAAGATGATCCCAAAGCATTGGCAGACATCGCGTTTCCCGAGCCTGCAAGATGTGAAGAGGCTGGGGCCAGCATTTTAATATATTTTAATATGGCTTTGTTTATTGATCGATCACCAGTGACCGGTGATCATCATTTTCCGCATTCAATTCGCATGTCTAGACAAACCCATCTTATCCGTAGTGCAACATGTTGTGCATGTGCTGCATCAGGTTATTCTTATGAACCGTTCTTGTTCAGTCCAGGGTTCTCAGGTGTGGCCCCAGTCGGTCACGCTTTGGATGAGCAGTGGGGGGACTATGTCAGTGCTGCACAACGATGATGGTGAGAATTTCCTGATGCTGTTGGATGGTACCAAGAGCGTGCCTTGTTTTGAGCAAACTGCATGGAATTGGAATGGCAGCGGCTATAGCGGCTATGCACTGCTGGGCCATGCCGAGAGACATTTCAAAGCGCCAACATCAACTCAAATTGACTTAAATTATATAATTTAAGTCATCTTATATAAGCCTAAATCTGAATTAGACACATGTGGGAAGTGCACAGTTGCACGGCAAGTGCCGAGATGCGAAAGGAGGACATGCAACAGGCTGCAACAGCATGGTTTTGGAGATGTCATGTTCACTCACATGTTGATATTTACTTTGGCCCAGGTGATGCTGGTGCACCAGGATGAGGCACCAAACATCTACGCACACATTGCCAAGGCGCAATTTATGTGAGCTCAAGGCGCAATTTATGGAGCACATATGTTAGCACCCGGCGCTCCATGATGCCGGCAAGGTTCGCGGCACATCCCCAGTTCGACAGGACATTGGGCAGCTTGCAGGGCAGCGCCGGCAGGGCTGTGTCGAAGCCCTGGGGCCCTGTCCACGGCCAGGACTTCGTGGACCTCGTTGCCTTCCCGCGCTTTGCCAACATTACCTGGCAGCACGGAGAAATTGAAGCTGGCGACATCCTTTTCATTCCACACACGTACTGGCACCAGGCATCCCAGCAATCATCAGCAATCCATACCGGATTCTACATGTGATTGAACAATATTGAATTGGTCTTATATATCAAATTGGTATATAAAAATTCTAAGAATGTTGATGGATGAACAATGATAACAATGATGATAAGGTATGATAAGATTGTCAAAGTATCGCACAGTTTACATCACGTGGAAAGTCACAGATGCGACCGGTTACAGTCCCAGCTGTCCCAGCTCTTCAGGTGAACTCCAAGGGCCGAAATCTTGCAGTGAATATCTGGAACTTCGATTGCATTTTAATCATTTTATGTTGGATAACAATTGGATAACTATCATTGACTATCCGCAAATGGTCTTATTTATCTTATTTCAGGTTGGTGAAGTTGTTTTTTTGTATCTTAGGTGCAATGGACTGCCTGCAAAGACAAGTGACTGACTGTTGATTCACGTTGTTTCAGGATTATTTTGCTAGACAGACTAGACAGATGCCCGGTTTACGTCTCAAACTGTCATGAGGTGGAGTCATGAAGCAGATTGGCAGTGGTGGGACTTGAAGAAGTGCCTTTCCTGAAAGCAAGTTTTGAATGGATTTGACAACTATTGTTTCCTGCACTTTCTGGCTGATCTCATGGCGATATGCCTTCACTGAGGTATGATGCCACCCTGTTTGGAACGAAGAATTTGCCATCCTTTGACCTGCCTTTTGCCTGCACTATCAGTTGGGCAGGAGACCACGAAGGGCCTCAAGAAACAGCCATCGCTTGCCATCTCAACTGACCCCATCGCTTAGGTTCAAGAGCAAAGCTACTGCGAATGCAAAGTGCACCTTGGCGTTCTGTCGTGCTACAGTGACTCAGAAGGGGTTGTATTACGGTATGTTGTATTCCCTATTATTTCATTGGCATGTCGTTGGTCTTCTTCAATGTGAGCTCCATGCCCTCATAGTCGAGATACAAGGAATCAGAAATACAGGCCGACCTTTGGCGGGCAGAATATGGCCGAGGCACAAAAAATGCCATCATCGGTTGTGATAGCGCGGGTCAGCAGGTATGACTTCAATTTCGGGTCTATATATCTTTGATCAAACTCAGGTACACCGCTTCCCCTGCAACAGAGCATGGCTCAAAGCACGATGGTAGATGAAGGACGAACCAAAGAGACTTGAATGATCTTGGATACCTGTTCAGACCAAACTTGACAAGACTTGACAATCTCATTTTATATTAAATTGTTTTTATATCAGCGCTGATTTCGTGACATTTTATCGCCAGAAGGATTGGACTGTATGGACTTGAACCGAACAAGCAACAAGGGAGGTGGTGGTCAGAGGCCGCAGTGCGGCTGAGGAGATCATTCGAAAAAGACGAGCAAAGGCTACTCGGCGAGCCAAGACATTGGGAGTTTTATGAGGCCCTGGGGCTACCCAGTGGCCAGATGGCTTGCAGTATGCCTGAAGTAAACGACTTAATTAGAAGAATACCAGTGCTGAAATACCGCACCGTCCTGCTGAGCTTGTGAGATTTGGTCAAGTGACATCATGGTGCGATGATTCATGTATATTGATGTAAAGCCCTAGACTGCAGGACTTGACTTGGTCCAGGCATCCGAGGCTACGTTTGGATGGTGAAGGCGTGTTACGATGCTTGAAGTCGCACATGACGCCCTTCCAATGCAAAATACATCAAAATACATTGAGCTGCAAGAATCTAAGGCCAGGCGTCAAAAGAAAGATAAGAAAGCAGCCAAAGATGCTGAACTTTGACATGTCGAGGATAATTCGAGTACATTACAGATTTCGGAAGCCGTGCATCGACCGTCGCATGGAATCTGGGCAGTCCCAACCGGGCTCTCGAGGTTGCCAAAGCAGGACTACCTGTGGAGCAATGAAGAGATGTTGCTGATTTGGCCGAGAAGTGATTCCGCTGGCATGTGCGCTTGGAAAAAGGATGAAAAAGGCCTAGTGACCTAGTGGCAAAGCACGGTTTGGAAACATTTGAAAACATACCATGGCAAATCGCATACCATCCAAGTGTCGCATCAGCTTCACAGCTTCTGACTCTTTTGGGCTGTGGTCACCTGGAACGTCTCAACCTCATCACAACCCCACGCCAAGGCTATGCCCGAGCATTTAGGCCAGAATGTGATGCAGTGGGTCGAGTGCTTGTTTTGTTGTTGAGATTTATTGAGTGTTTCGATAAGATATGCGTAGCATTGCTTGATCACGAAAGCTAGCTTGTGCTAGCTGGAGTTGCTTTTGCTTTAGCAGCGAATAGGCAGGCACTGTTGAATACACTGAAACTTTCAATTTTATCCCGCCCACCTGGCAGGCCCGGGTTCAATCCACCTCTAGTCCCCCTGCTCCCCCTGATTCCCCTGGTCCCCTGAACATGGGTTGCCTACAGGGTCGTCATCTTCACTATCTTCACTATCTTCACTATCATCACTATTAATTATCATCACTACCTCGTAGTCGTCGTAGTCATCGTAGTTGTCGTCGTTGTCATCATCATGATCATCGTCAGCGTCATTGTCATCTCGTCACAGTAGTCGTAGTCGTAGTCGTAGTCGCAGTCGCAGTCGTAGTCGTCATCCTCCTCCTCCTCATCATCATCATCATCATCATCAGCATCATCATCATCATCATCATCATCATCATCGTCATCGTCATCGTCATCATCATCATCATCATCATCATCCTCGTCATTGTCATCATCATATCATCATCATCATCATCGTCATCGTCATCGTCAGTCATCATCATTAGCATCATCATCATCATCATCATCATCATCATCGTCATCGTCATCGTCATCGTCGTCATCGTCATCCTCGTCATCCTCGTCATCCTCGTCATCCTCGTCATCCTCGTCATCGTCGTCATCGTCATCCTCGTCATCCTCGTCATCCTCGTCATCCTCGTCATCCTCGTCATCCTCGTCATCCTCGTCATTGTCATCATCATCAGCAGCATCAGCATCATCATCGTCATCATCATCATCATCGTCGTCATCATCATCATCATCCTCCTCATCCTCGTCATTGTCATCATCAGCAGCACCAGCATCAGCATCAGCATCATCATCATCATCAGCAGCAGCATCATCATCGTCGTCGTCATCATCGTCATAGACATGTGGTGTTCCCTTGAACATCATGCGTACGCCTAATGCAGACTTGGTCTTCCATTTGGGGGGTGCGTTTTTTGATTTATTTTGTTTTTCCTCTGCTCAAAATGGCGAGAGACGATTGCTACATTGGGGGTTTCTCGCTTGCTGGACAATGCAACCCTACAACAGCCCTGCTAGCTTTCGTACTTTCCCCCTGGCCTCAAGTTCGCTTTAGTTTACCTTGTATACCGGTATACTTTGTGTTTTTTGAATGATTTCGACGCATGTCAATGTGTGAATATGACGATAGCACGACATGATTCTTGCCGGACCTGGGTAAGCAGGAGAGCCTTGCAACGGGACATGGCATACATGCAGGAGGCGGTGATGGGACATGATGGGACAATGGCCTGCACCGGATGTCATTTACACGTAGACCATATAAACATGCCGTGTTTGCATGTGTTTGCAAGATTGCAGAAAAGGTGCCACGGTTCAAAAGCTAGGATGTCAACTTGCATGATCCCAGGAATATCCGTGAGTAATCCATGGATGTTGAGTATTGTTTAATTAGTGATTTTTTCCCCGCCTGCCAGATGAGTGCCTCTAGATTTTATCAGAATTACTTCCAACGCCTCCTCGTCCTTCCTTCCGTCCGTCCATCCGTCCGGACCTCAACTGCGAGTTCCAGATGTCGATGGGCACTGCCGGACCTCAGCCGCGAGCTCCAGAGCGCACTGCCGCACCTCAACCGCGAGCGCCAGATCTCAGTGGGCACTGCTGGACCCCAACTGCGAGCTCCAGATCTTAGTGGGCACTGCCCACTGAGATCTGGCGCTTGCGGTTGAGGTCCAGCAGTGTCATGTCGGAGAGAATGTCAGAATAGATGCAAGATAGAAATTGCCAGAATAGATGCCAAAAAAAGAATGCTGGAATAGATGCCAGAAAGAATGCCAGAATGAATGCCGGATAGGATGTCAGAATAGAATGTCAGAATGGATGCCAGACAGAATGCCAAAAAAAATGTCAGATGGAATGCCAGGTAGAATGCCAGAATAGATGCCAGAAAGAATGTCAGAATAGATGCCAGAAAGAATATCAGAATAGATGCCAGAAAGGATGCCAGATAGAATGTCAGAATAGATGCCAGATAGAATGCCACAATAGTATGACAGAACAGACTGCCAGATAGAAAGCCTGAATAGGATGTCAAAAAATATATGTGCCATATTTACTTCCAGATGAACTGTCAGAAACTGTGACAGTCACTGTGGGGATCACTCGAAGTAGAGTATTTGACATTTATTATTTGTTCACAATATTTGCATACATTGGCCATGTATATGCCATCATCACATGGGCCGATGGATCTTTCCTCAGGTTCCACTTAGGGAGGTCTTTCCAGCTGCAAGATGCTGCGGTCCTATGCAGGCAGAATTGCTTCACACCCTCGCAGAGCTATTCAGCGTTGCCAATCTGTCTAGTGACTCGACAGTGAGAGACACATGGGGATTACTAGGGGGGTTCTTAAAATTGAGCGACCCCAAGTCACCATGGGTATCAATACGCAAATGATATAAAGTGGTCCAATCTGGGTGATTTAGGGGTCCCTTCATTTCAGGAAACCCCACGCTATCACAATGAACTACATTATGTACTATGACATTATGATGCCTATAAATGCAAATGTCTGGATATAATGAGGTTTAAATCAATATCATATCGTGATTTATACTATGATATCTGGGTTTGTCTCAGAATGACAATGGGGAAAGCACCCACAATTTTGCAATACGGAATATGATGTTTCAAGACCTGGACCTTGAAATATGCTAATGGGGATGGTATGGGGTTCCAATTTGAGGCAACACTAAATATGCTAATAGGCTACGCCCTCTGCCGCCGACCCCTGGAGGTTCATGTCTGTGTGAAATTGAGTGCACCAACAGACGCTGGTGTGCAATCCTTTTTCGTCGCTTGCCTTTTTGTGTTTTATCATGGCAACAAACCATCTAAAATGTATCTAATCAAAGGAAGTTTAGAAGTCAAACTTCCGACAAGAGGGACATATGGAAAAGCAGAGTTGAGAAGATTCAGAGAAGAGCAGAGAAGAAGCAAGAAGATCAGAGAAGAGAAAGGGTCAGAAGAAAGAAGATGCAGGTGCCACACTCAAACAGCATGGCAATGAAGGACGTAACGGGCCTCCGGGCAACGGCCTGTAGTGCCTAACATTGCTTTGGGCACCGACAAGAAACTAGCTGTTTTTTTCTTTTGCCCGCCGCTAAGCTTGATGAAACGCACGGCTGCCAAAGCTCGAAAACAGCGCCGTCGCCTTGCTTCTTGCCCCTTGCTGCCTGTCATACCTTCTTGGCAGTGAAGAACGGAACGGGCCTCGGGGCAACGGCCTGTCGTGCCTAACGTCGCTTTCTGCACCGACAAGAAGCTGTCTTTTTGCCTTTGCCCGCCCTCTGGAGAAATGAGCTTCATAGAATTATTGGTCGCAGCCTCAAAACGCCCGGCTGCCAAGGCTCGAAAAGCGCCTTCGCCACACTCAAACAGCATGGCAGGGAAGGACGGAACGGGCTCCGGCGGGCAACGGCCTGTCGTGCCTAACGTCGCTTTCTGCACCGACAAGAAGCTGTCTTTTTGCCTTTGCCCGCCCTCTGGAGAAATGAGCTTCATAGAATTATTGGTCGCAGCCTCAAAACGCCCGGCTGCCAAGGCTCGAAAAGCGCCTTCGCCACACTCAAACAGCATGGCAGGGAAGGACGGAACGGGCTCCGGCGGGCAACGGCCTGTCGTGCCTAACGTCGCTTTCTGCACCGACAAGAAGCTGTCTTTTTGCCTTTGCCCGCCCTCTGGAGAAATGAGCTTCATAGAATTATTGGTCGCAGCCTCAAAACGCCCGGCTGCCAAGGCTCGAAAAGCGCCTTCGCCACACTCAAACAGCATGGCAGGGAAGGACGGAACGGGCTCCGGCGGGCAACGGCCTGTAGTGCCTAACGTCGCTTTCTGCACCGACAAGAAACTAGCTGTCTTTTTTTTTGTCCGCCACTAGGCTTCGAAACGCACGGCTGCCAAAAATCGAACAGCGCCTCTGCCTTGCTTCTTGCTTCTTGCCCCTTGCTGCCTGTAATACCTTCTTGCCCCTTGCTGTCCTTGCTGCTGGTAATTTCTCCCTTGACGCGCTCCTTCTGCTGCAAGCGGGGTTGGCGGATTAATGAACCTTAGTAATGTACAATATGTTTGTTATTTTTTGGTATAGGACCAGTAGGAAAGTGGATTGGCTCCACGATTCCGAATTTCCAAGGCCGTGTTGAGCTCCATTTGTCGGACACGCGGCTTCTTCGCCTTTTATTCGAGGCAGGAGCTGGCCATGGCCATCGGCAGAGCCATTGCAGAGACATCGTTCTGAGGCGGCGTACCAGAAAGCGTTGCGCGAGGTGCATACGGCTGGCCTGCCTCTCAATTTGTCAATGCAGTGGTGGAACAACGTGCAAATTCAATGCCGCAGACCTTCCATTTGGGGATGGTTTATGATGTTTATGCAGCCCATTTTTAATAAATTTGGGATGGATGTTTATTTTATATTATTGGGTTCACAGGTATACATTAGGTTAGATGTGGCATGCTGCTGTGGCATTTGACAGCTAAGGTACAAGCAAGTCAGGACAGAAGGCAAGACCGAAGAGTTGAAACAACTGGCCAAACATTTCATGACAATCTGCCATAAGTATCCGTAAGTATTGTACACGGTGATTCTCAGCCGACATGATATGTGAACACATGGAAATAACATACGAAATGATATAACATGCGAAAATGTCATGACCCTGGGCAACAAGTTGCTGAGAGTTTCTCCATTGATAAAACGATATGTTTTTTTTTGAAACCAGGCACCCCAAACTGATGCAGACCGAAGTGCCAGTAGTGGCATCCCTGGTGCTTCTTGGTGTTGTGAGGGCCCACGTGAACCATTGTGAACCATGAATCCATGTGTCGCTGCTGAGGTGTAGGGGAGCGCCTTCGCACTCGTGTGTTGGAGGCTATTTAGGATTCCATTGATTCCATTCCGTGTCATTTTCCTTTACCAGAAGGAGACTTTTTGACCCACGCCAGATGGAAAAGCTCTACCCTCGTGTCATGACTCATGACATAATATTACATCATATTACATTGTATTAGGCATTTGGCACGGGCTTCGGTGCGCTTGTGACACTTTTTATTTGTCTTGTCAGGCATACATTTCAATCTGATCTTATTGTGAGGACCCGCAGATTCTAACATAGGGCCCCGTAGGGGCTTTCAGTCCACGAGAAAACACTCACGCAGCATCCTTCTGAAATGTTTTGGATTCCTTTTATTTACCCAGGCATCCTATCCTTAGTTGACCCATGGCAAATGAACCCGGTGGCACGGCGCCCTCGCCGACTGAACGCACAGTGGCCATCTCACAGGAGGATTATGATCTCCTTCAAAAATTGAAACAGCAGACAGACCCAGAACAGAGAACGGCATCCCCAAAACGACAAAAGCTGGACGATGAAGCTCTGCAGACTTTTGTGGAAAGTTTAGCCACTAGAGGCATTGAATGGATGGACCTTGATCCTGCCCTGCGTCACTTATTGAAGACTGACCCGGAGGCCAGGAAAGACTTTCAGCAGGTACAGCTGACACCCGACCAAGCACGTGCATATGATCCCTCCAAGAAGGAATTTGCCACCATTGACCTCAGCAAGAAACGAATTTTTTCGGAAGTCGATGACATCATCAGCAAGACCCCTGTTTTAGAAATCCCTGAAGAATCCATCAAAGCAGCAATGCTTGAATATCACAGCCAATCGGTGATCCCAAGCTTCGATAAGCTTTGGCGAACATGTGCTGACTTTTACTCCAACACAGTCCTGGAGTCACAGTATGTCCAGCTCACCTTGGATATGATGAGCACCCGGCTTCGTTCTCTGGAGCAGTCCCGTGCAAATCGAACAGTCCTGATTCGAGGCCTCCCAGCCTTTGGCTACACAAGGTCATCACTGGAGAAAAATGTGACTTACTTCCTGTCTAAGGCTTCGCTGGATTTCTCATGTGTAGCTGCAATGCATACCCATGTTGTGAACGCGTCCTCGTCCATCATGAGGCTCGAACTGATGACGGAGGAGCAGCGCAGAAGCCTGTTCCAAGCAATGCGCACTTCAAAGCAGATGTGGCGCATGCCAAACCATGAGGCGAAAGCAAAAGTAGAACAAGATTTGTCGACTGACGAAAGGATCGCTTTGCAGCCGTATTACACCATGTTAGATATCCTCCAGCATGTAGCGCCAACCGGACCGACTGGCCAGCTGCAAAGCGATCGCAACACGCTGCAAATATGGTCTGGGGCGGTTACCCCTGAGACGCAAGGCTCCCTTCTTTGCCAAGTGTGCTACTTGCTGGATCACCGCTTTGCGAGGCGGTACGTGTGCGTGGTGTTTGTGGCTGAGGAGTTCTATGACCAAACACTGGCTCGATGGCATGAGGCATTCTCCGCCCGCATGAGCTCCACATTGCTATTGATCCAAGCCCTCCAGCGAGCAGTTGGTGACCGAACCACAGTGGCACGGCATTCGTACACAAAGGCATTTGATCTGGCAAACATCCCTGACCCACAGCTGCATTTCGGATATCCTGTGATTCCGTTGAGTATGTCAACATCTTTGGCGACATTACTGGAGAAGCATCCCTCGCTGCCTTTACAAGGCTCCTCTGGCTTGTTGGCAACCATTTCGCAAGTTTTCCAAGATTATGGGGTGCAAGCTGAAGATTTTGGAAAAGGGACCACCAAAGGTAAGGCACCTACTGGTAGTTTGGATTCCCCCAAGAAAGGCAAAGGGGGTTCAAAGAGCTTGGATCCTCCCAAAAAGGGCAAAGGTGGGTCAAAAAGCAACAAGCCTTGGTCAAACTGGCAAGATCGAGACCCTGACCAATCGAAGTGGCACTCGCGAAAGGATGATGACAACCAAGATGGCCCCTCTGGGTCGAGTTGGCCCTCCAAACCATCCCCGCTCCGCGCAACATGGCAAAGTCGACCTACAGGAAAAGGCCGCGCTTCCACTAAAGGAAATGTGCGTGGCGGGCGATCATGGGATCTGGTACTTTGCCAGCTATGCCTATGTGCTCTGGGATGGAATCTGGACTGCCCCGAGTGTGGAAAGTGTGATGCTCCTGTTGGTATGAACAAGCAATCAGCGCCTGTGCGGGCCTTGTGGTGCCCAGGCGCAACCACGGATGGCCGAATCTGCAGCAAGCTCCTTGGATTTGGCTCTTGCAGCCTGTGTCGGGCACATGTTGACTATTGGCATTCCAAGGACCCCGTGCTCACCTTGACTCCATTCAGAATGGCAGAAATCTACCAAGTGGACCGATTCCTGTATGACTATGATGTCACACAGCTTAGCGATGAATACCTTCGTGGATACACGGATGACATCCACGACAAACTGGGTGACTCACAGCCGGGCGACTTCACGATAGAGCAATGGGTTCTTGCGTGGGCCCTCCGTGTTCTGACAAAAGATCACAAATTTTTGCCGCTGCTGCAATCATCGGCGTTGCCATTTGAAATCAATCCTTCTTTGACGGAGGAGTATCTCCACAATGCAGGTGGGGTCTTCACCAAGCAGGTGAATGAGCACTTTGCTCTGCTGGATCTTTTTGTTTATATTTTTGAAGACCACTGGAACAATGATTGGGAATCCTTCACGGAGCAGTGGGAACTCGCAGACTGGCAGTTGTTCCATGGGATGCAATGGTGGCATGTTCATTGCACTTCACGTTTGAGGACCTGCTAGCCGAACAACTGATCTCTGGTGAACCGCCGCCGAAAATCACTCAGGACCTGTTTGTATTGTTAGGTTCATCTCTGGATTGTGAAGATTCCCCGTTTGACACCATCAGACAGAACTTTGCACACTGGTTGAACCATAGCCCTCAAAACATTGAGATCTTCATGGGCAGTAACCTCTACACCAATGAGACCTTGCGACATCTGAGTGGCTTTGCGACATGTTTCGCGGATGTATGTTTTTGGCAGCTTTCCAGGGCTTACATGGTACACACTGCTAAGAAGCCAAAGGCTCAGCACCAGGTACCTAATGAGTCCCTAAATTTCTTGTATGATCGGCTGGTCCCTCTGTTAAGTATTAGCAAGCAGGACGCCCAGTGGGCCCTCACTCAGAGGCACTGGAACAACAAGGGAAACTCCCTTGAAGTGTTGTTGTTTTTGTTTGCAGAGGAGGGCTACCACAGAGCGTTTTGGCAAACACTCTGGGTCCTGTTCATGCACCAGCACAAGGACTTTAGGTTTCCATGGATTGTTCAGGTCCTCTGACTAGTTTTTTTACCAGCACCCACGAGTGAACTAATGATTTTTCCCCCAAAAAAAATGATCCCATTCAGTTTGCTACAAGAACAATCTACGCAGGAACGTGCGCCTAATAAGGCAAGCGCACATGATGGCCAAAGGCCGAATGGAAACTGGCATTTCCAAACTACTAAGGAAATTGCACCTACTAAGGAAAGTGCAACAACGGGCCTCAGGCCCCGCCAGTCTGGGTTGAAAATCTCCATCCTGCAGACTTTCTCTTTTGGAGTAGACCTTTTGGATGCTGTGTCTTCGACGTTGCCAGTTGCGCAGTGGCCCCCCCTGGTCTTGACACTTGATAGATTATCAATATCGATTTTCATTTGTTACTCATGTGCGGCGCGCTGGCCCTCGAAAGCACCAGCAGGACATTGCAAAGGATGCCTGGAAAATGTTTGGTCACATTCGCGGACTTTTCGAAACAGACAAGCCCACATCACCCATGGCAATCAATTTTGTCAGCGTTGTTCCCTATTCTTAGGAACTTGGTATTATTACAATTTACCAAGCAAATTCCGATCCCAGCCTGTTACTCTATCTAACGGAATGATGGTCCACCATTTTAGGATATGCTCACACCATGTATCCATATGGTTTTTTCGTAGAGGATACCGTATCTACCAGAATTTTTTTGGGAACGCAAAGCGGAAATTGCTCAAGCTGCTCGAAGCCGCGGGGGCCGCCAGAGGCTTGCCGGGAGACCACGGCTTTTCCCCTCAGAAGCAATATTTTCAGTATCAGCGTTATGAGCTCCGGCCTCCAAATACAGCAAGTGGTCACGAACCCCGCAGTGCGTCGGGGGGGAAATATAGAACCCATCAAAATTTGCGCTCTGAAAGCTCCCGGAATCGTCGTATCCTCTCCTTTCAAGCTGAGCGTCGTCGTTCGCGCCAAGCTTACAGACAGTGGAAAACAGCCATGCGCGGTACTGTGAACCTCACCCTGGCGCAATACCGCCCCCCCCCGAAAAGGGTGCAAGTTAGTGTTCAACAAAAATTCCGATTGTTTGGTCCGCGAGACATTCCAACCAGCACATCCCGTGCCTTCTTTTTTAAAAAGCATATGTTGCGAGACCGCCTCTCCCTACCCCCAAACCGCCTGCGCACCATGGCTTCGCCTGGGCGTCAGCTCACCCTTCACACGTGGAACGTAGAAACCCTGCTCGGAACTGGAAAATATGAAATGCTTGCTACTGTATTGAACACAATACAAATAGGCATAGTTTGTCTACAGGAAACAAAAAGCACTTGCACTGATCATATTCGCTCTCTCAACTGGCATTTCTATTTGTCTGGGGATGCCGATGACCCACATGCAGGAGTTGGCTTTGCAGTCCCTCAATATTTGCTCCCATTAGTGCATGATTTCATCCCGCTCACGGCGCGGATTGCTATCTTGAAGCTAGCCACAAAACCTTTCCCGATCTCCTTGTTTTCCGTTTATGCCCCTTCCCAAGTCTCTTGCGAACAAGAAGATCTTGATCGTAAGGAAGCTTTCTGGCGTTCCCTCCACGAATGGTATATGCACTTCTCTCCTCACACGTACCCTATCATTATGGGCGACTTCAACACGCGTTTATACGCGAATCAACTGGAGGGCCTGGACCGGCACATAGGGCCCGTCACTTTTTCCCCTCCCACGGAAGCAGATCTAGCGCAAAACAACTTCACATACATGCTACAATTCCTGGTGCAAAATGACCTGTGTATCATCTCTTCCATGCGACCGCGCCCTCCTTCCAAATTAATCACATATCGAGAAATTGCTGACTTGACTAATGACCCAACACGCCCAACCATCGGCAACTTTGCGGTACTTGATCATGTTGTAACCCCCTTCCAGTATAGGACTTTTTTCCGTTCCATTTTGTCGGTTCCCTCGCTTCCTCTCCCTGGTTTCATCGGCATTACTTGCTTACAGCAAAATTTGTTGCTCCAGATTTCGTTCATAAGGACCCCCCGGCTGCTCCGCCGGCATTTCTCCCTCCAAGTACCTCCCAGAAACATGCATTCCACTCTGTGGTCCTTCAATATTTCCAGGAAAGCTCATCTCTTGCTACCCCTCAGGTCTACTCCGAACCCCTATCTGATTCTGTTTGTATTTATACTGACGGCTCATGCCCAGATCAGTATCACGTCGGCCCCCGCAACCCTGCTGGCTGGGGCGTATACATCGCCGACCCATATCACATAGACCATTTTGGTTCAGTTGGACACCTCCCTTTTCCCGTTCATGGTAGTAACAATACTGGCGAATTGCAAGCTATTCTGGAAGCCTTGTTGTTTATCCCTTTCTTATCTCACCCCCCGCCAGCTATCACAATTTATACCGATTCCACATATGCTAGGGATCTCCTCCTAGGTCTTGCCCTCCCCTCCTCCAACCACGACCTGGTGCACCTCCTTTTGGAACGGCTCTCTGAAGTGGCCACCAGGATCCCCATCGCAATTGTTAAAGTCAAAGGCCATTCTGGCCAGGAAGGCAATGACCGCGCAGATTCTTTAGCCGCGCGCGGGGTCCATTCCTCCTCGTTCTTGGGCCGCTACTCATCCTTCCCTCCAACTTCCCCTCCTTCCTTACCAAATCCCCTCCTGACTTGGTTTACTTCCCTCACTTTGGATCAGCAAACAGAACACTTGGTCTCATCCCTATCGCGAGCAGCCGCTGCTGCATTCTCAAGAAAACCGGCTGTCGTCCGCAAACCTTACCTTTCTCCTGCCACTCATGAGGAGATTGCAGCACTCAACTCTTTAGATTTATCATCCTCTGATCTGGAGACCTTGCGCCGGCGTATTCGCTCACATGCACGGCGAGACCGCAAACGCTGGACTCTACGCCAGCTGGAAGTTGACCACAGGGCCTCGCCAGCTGACCGATGGAAAACAATCAAACGGGTCCGATCCAAGTACCAGCCGCAAACTCAATCAGTGTCTTGGCCCTCAGGGCGCCCATCTACCGCCACAGAAAAGGCCGAAGTATTGGCCCAACATCTCCGAGATGAAGTATGGAAACCTGCCTTATGTCCCCCTCCCTCCCAGACTCCCATTTACCCTTGCGTCTTTGAAGCTTTCACAACCTTCACAATGACCGACTTACACATAGCACTCCGACGGTTAAAATCGCGCAAGGCGCCTGGCCCTGACCGCGTTGGTGCTGACTTGTACAAGCTTCTCCCGTTTGCAATGCGCCGCCTTCTGCTCGAGTATTTCAATTCCTGCTTCCTGTCTGCTTCAGCTCCAGACCATTGGAAATTGGCAAGGGTGGTTATGATCTTCAAAGGCGGGTCAAAGAACAGCCGTTTGCCCTCTTCATATCGGCCAATAAGCTTGGCGAACTCTATTTACAAAGTTTATGCTGCTTTGCTCCAAAGCAGGTTGGCTCTCCACTTCGATCACCGCATCAGCGACTTCCAATATGGCTTTTGAGCTCGCCGATCCACAAGTGCACCTCTCTTCCTGATCCGTTGAATGGTCGAACTGTTTGAGCGTCATACCACATCCTTGTATATTCTCTTCCTGGACTGGTCTCAGGCTTTTGACAGTGTTAGCCACGAGCACTTGGCTGCTTCCCTTGTCCGTATTGGCGTGCCTCTCCCTTTTGTGCATGCTATAGCAGCACTCTATGTTGACAGCAAATTTTTTGTCTCCTCCTCTTCTTATGTCTCCGCCACGTACTCCCTTTCACGTGGGATCCGCCAGGGATGCCCTCTCAGCCCATATCTGTTTATCATAGTCCTGACGGTTTTAATGCATGATGTCCAATTCTCCTTCGAAACCCGGTTCCACTTCACCCCGTGGACCTTCTCTTCTCGTTCTCCCATGACTGATGTTGAGTATGCTGACGACACAGTTCTAGTTTCCCGCACCCAGCTTACATTACACCGCCTCCTTCACAGTCTCCAGCATGAAGCTAGCAAGCGCGGCTTGCTTCTCAACCCCGATAAATGCCAACTTCTGCGCCTCCATTCCAATCTCTCCATTCATCTCTCACCTCATGTCACCCCACTTTCCCCTTGCTCCTGCCTACATTGCATGGGAACAGATGATCTCGGTGTTCAAATCCCACCCCTGCACTCAGCCAAATATCTTGGGGCCTACGTAGCTGCAAATGCATCTTCTGCACCGGACTGCAATTATCGCTACTCTCAAGCGATGGGCGCGTTTCGCTGCCTCTTTCCCGTCTTCACTAATCCGTCCCTCCCTTCGCGCCGTAAATTGCAGGTGTATGCGCAAATTGTGCTTGCCATTTTACTTTATGGCTGTGAATCTCAAGTTTTCACCCCTGCGCAGATCACAAGGTTCAATTCTCTTCACTATAAAGTTCTGCGACAAATCTTTCAAGTTAAAAGCTCTTATTACCATCGGGTCCTTCACCCCTCTCAGGAGGACTGTTCCAATGAATACTTGCTGTCCCTTGCCTACCGTCATGCCCCCCGTCTCCTGATACCCAGTCAGCGTATTTCTGTCCAGCGATTGCGTTACCTCGGTCATATTCTTCGGCATTTTGAAGCCTTAGAGCATAGGATAATCTTCCATACCTCCCACGCCCTCCGCCGCCTCTCTTCTCCATTTCGTCTTGGTAGACCTCGGGCGCATTGGCCTGAAATTGCTCTCTCAGAAGCTTTTCACCGTTCTGAACAACTTAGAAGAAATCAGCATCCCACCACACAAGAAATTTCCCATCCAATGTATGCCACAGGCACTCAGTCCATGGTTCACATATATTTTGGACCTTTGCTTGCAGACTGGTATGATACTACGGCGATCTGGAACACGCTCTCCCCAATAGCAATGGACCGCGACGAATGGGATCAAATTGTTTTTCCGGGGAATTTGATAGTTCACTCGAACACTGCTGACGTGTAGTTCATACAGCCGCTGCTTGGACTGCATTTCGCTTGACAAAAAAAAATACATTGTATTTATACATTGATTTTGGTGGTAATGTACATGTCCTTTTTCTGTGGAGATTTCAGTACCAGCAACATAAAAAACATCATGCAACGGTATGCAGATCTGCCGAAGGCGTTGAGGAGACAAGCCATAGCATCCGGAGGAGCATGACTTGCCACATCTTGTCACCATTGGCCATCAGTAGATTGGAATTAGCACTATGCCGGCCCGACGCATGCGTCGGAAAACCGTTTCTTTGAAAAAAAATAACTGATTGTAAGCCTAGCCTGACCAACACGGATATTGCTCCCACAGTGGCAGGAGACAAACTCGCCAGCAATCAGAGTGGCGTGAAACCTCAGATGGGACGATCAGGGTCTGTGAGCCACCCTAGTCTTTTACAGAAGTAGCAGGTAAGCTGCAGCGATTGCATGGGTGGGACTTTGATTTCCCCCGGCCCTTATGAATCTTATTCTAACATATCCTAACGTCATGCCACATCTGATAACCTTCTGAGCGCCAGAAAAATGGGCACACCTGCGGGGGTGTTTGCAAGTGAATGTCCCAGGCAGCAGCGGAAGCAGCACTATTCCAGTTGGAGACTAAAAGTATTGAACAAAATGCAAGACTCGAGGTTTGAAGTCCGTGGTCGTTTTCTTTGTGTCTTGTGTCTGGGCATATCTCTGGATGGAGGTTCAAGATGCACCTCGAATTCCATCTGCTGCACTGGAACGAGCAGCAGCAGAGCTTGCCGGATTGCTGGCAGGAGATTCTGACTATTTCTGACCATTTCAGAGAGCAGAAAGCCCACCGGGAATGGCACATGCTTTCCGTGGCAAGATGTGGCTAGCATGCTGAACATACTTGTACATACTACATTACTACACGCTTATACATCCTTAAACATCCTTATGCATGCTTACATACATGCTTATACATGCTTGTACATGCTCATACATGCTTATACATACTTATACATCCTTATACATCCTTATCCATCCTTATACATGCTTATACACATTGTTCATGCTTGTACATGCTCATACATGATTAGACATACTTATACATCCTTATACGTTCTTATACATCCTCATACATCCTTATACATGCTTATACATGCTTATACATGCTTATACATGCTTATACATGCTTATACATGCTTGCCCGCGCTTGTGCGTGCACATGCCCACACATGCCCGTACATGCTTGTACATGCTCATGCATGCTTCTACATACTTTTACATACGTATACATACTGATACATACTTATTCACACCAATACATACTTATACATCCTTTGACAAACTTTTACATACATATACTTGTACATTCTTATACATACTTGTACATGCTTATACTTATACATCCTTATACCTGCCCATACATACTTAGACAAGCCCAAACAGGCTTATACATGCTTATACATACCTATGCATGCTTATACATTCTTATACATACTTATATATACTTACACATGTTTATACATGCTTTTACATACATATTCATACTTAGACATACTTATACATCCTTATACATGCTTGTATATGCTTTCACATGTTTGTACATGTTCATAAATGCCCATACATGCTTGTACATGCTTATACATACTTATGCGTAACTTATATACTTATACATACCTATACATACTTATACATCCTTTGACAAGCTTTTACATACTTATACATACTTGTACATTCTTATACTTTCTTGTGCATGCTTTTACTTATACATGCTTGTACATGCTCATACATGCTTTTACATGCTCATATATATGCTTTTACATGCTTATACATGCTCATACATGCTTATACATGCTTGCCCATACTTACGCACATTTTCATACATACTTATACATACCTATACATGCTTATACATGCTCATACATGCTCGTTACATGCTTATACATTCTTATACATACTCTTTCATTTCTATACATGTTTTTACATGCTTATACATCTTTATGCATACTTATACATGCTGTGTTACATACGTATACATACTTAAATTATACATACTGTGCTACATTCTTTTACATGCTTATACTTGCATACACATACATACATAAATACATACATGCCTGCATACCCACACACATACATACATGCATGCATGCATGCATGCATGCATGCATGCATACGTACGTACATACATACATACATACATACATATATACATACATACATACATACATACATACATACATACATACATACATACATACATACATACATACATACATACATCCATGCATGCATGCATGCATGCATACATACATACATACATACATATTCTAGCATTTTTCAGTACAGTAGAATTATACTCATAACGTATAATAGGCATATAACCATCTATGGCAAAATGAAAATGATGCAGAGAGAGAGAGAGAGTAGGTTGCAGACATGCGTTTGTTTAATTGTCTTTTGATTGGTTTTTATTTTTTTTGCGTATGTGTGTCTAAATGGTCCGCTTCAGGAACCTCTTCACCTGAGGCACCCAAAACAGTGGCTGCCTTCCTAAGTGAGGCCGATTCAGATTGGGCGAGCACATGCGCTGAAGTCATGACGATTTTTCTTTGATCCAGCATGTAATTGGAGCTGGTCAGCTTTCTTGGCAGCATGTAGTTAGAAGATGTTAGAAGGAATTTGGAGGAACATGGACACAAAGTAGGACAATGCTTTTAGTTTGGCGGGTAGGTCCTGCGTGCTTTTTACAGAATGTCCTGTCCTGGGATGTTTTGCTTAGAAGATCTTGGAAGGTTGAAGAGCTGTATGAAGCTTGCCTGCACAAAAGGGAACATAGAGTACAGATAATTTTCATGCTGAGCCTCCACGCAACCAAAGAAGTTCCCATTGACAGTGAAAATGTTCAAAGCATCCCGTTCTCGTGGCCTCTCAGGTGTCATGGAATCCTGCCCCTGCATCTCCAAGAGCTTCATCAGGATCTCCAAGAGGTGGGGTGAAACAGAAACAGCTGTAAGTCTGGTAGGTCAGCACTGGAACAGCTCGCTGGTCCACTGTATTTTTGCACAGTGCGTATTTTGCACTGCTTGGTGCAACTGATGGCTCAAGTCTCTCGACTTTGTCTTTTTGCACTTTGTGTTTCACACTTTCATATGGCATGATTGTAGCCCCATCGATTGAGGTTGACAATGAAGAATTGAATGAGCGAATTGAAAGTTGAAAGTTGCTTGCAAGGCATACCGACACATTTAGATACCAAGAGAGCCGAGAAAGAAATGATTCGCATACTATTGCAAGCCTTATGTCCAGAGTCCAGAGCTGGCAATTGTCATCACTATGGCCGCCAAACAGGGTGGTGGCAGTCAGGTGTTCTGGCAAGGTGCCAACGCTGTCCCGAAGCGCAGGAGAACAGAAAATGCCTATGGTGACATAGCAAGCCATTTGTGGAACTCCTTCCCATGTGACTTTCTCGTCAGTCCACGCAGGCCATTTACAGCATGCCCACAGGCCAAATTTGGTTACTGATGGAATTGAAGTCCCTGTCACCCTCGGTCACTGGTACATACACTGTTCATCGGGATCGCTGGTCCGTACACAGCAGGCCATATCAGCTAGTTGTGTTTCGCCTGTAGCGGCTACGAACGTCTGAAACTGAGTGGCTCTGCTGCTCGACCTCTAGTCCCTGCTGGATGGATCAGTACAAAGACTATATTATTGTTGGGCCGAGCATCGGAGGGGCATGGCTGGCAGGTCCAACTTGTCTGTCTGAATTGATTCAGGAAGGGTGTCACCGAGCGGAACTGTGGCCATCACTGCGTGGAGTATCAATCTCAATGCTGGGAAGCAGCTACCAGCAAGCTTGTATGGAAGCTGTGCACCGTTTTGTAGCTTTCCCCCCAGGAAACAGCCACCATACAAGGTCCACCGGCAGCTTGGGGCCGGTGGAACCAGGCAGCTACTGGCAGAGTAGTCTGCAACCCTCATGGTACTATGTATCCAATAGCTGGCCTTTGTCACATGCCGTGCCAGAGGTCAACCAAGAAGAGAAGGCAGCCTCAGAGGAACAGGAAAGGGGCTGAGATGGCGGCAGCTTCTGGAGCTCTCAGTGCTCTCGCAGCTGCTGGAGCTCTCGGAGCTCTCGATCCTGGAGCTCTTGGAGGAGCTCTCAGTGCAGATGCTGGAGGAGCTGCCAGTCCTGGAGGCTCTCCTGGTCCTGGTGCTCCCAAGAGCTGGTGCTTTGAAGCCTGGCATGGTGCCAGACCCTATGCAATCTTAGGATCCTATCACTCAGGCCCAAGTCAAAGCAGAACCGAATGTCAAAGAAGAATCAAGAGCACGGAAAGCTCCCAGACTTAGTTCGAACAGTCAAACAAGAACCAGGGAGTTCTCGATTGCCAGACCAAGGAGAACTGATTGGCAGTGCTCGTGGGGCTTCAGGGAATAGAGAGCCGGGCCAGACTGTGAAGAAACCATTCCAACTCTCACCTAGGCAACGACGGCTGGGATTTCTGCATTCCTCACCTCAGCCCAAGAAGAAGGTGCTTTGTTGCCGACTTCGATGACCCACAGACCTTGCAATTCTCTTTGTAAAAAGAGTGAAGCTCTGGGAGCAAGGGGTTCCAAACTCTGGGAGCCGAGAAAAAAGTGATGCTCTGGGCTCTGGGAGCGCTGCTTGATGCATCTCCAAGAGCTTCAAGTTCACAAGTCTCAGCTGGAGGCGATGAAACTCACCGCGATCATCGAAGGAAGTTTAGAAGCCAAACTTCCGACAATATGGACAGATGGAAAAGCAGAGGTGGAAAGAGTCAGAGAAGAGAAGAGAAGAGAAGAGAAGAGAAGAAGAGAGAAGACCAGAGAAGAGAAAAAGTCAGAAGAAAGAAGATGCAGGTGCGGGAAAAGGTAGAAAAGTCGCGAAACACTGTGTTTTTCCAATGATTTGTGGCTCCGGAGGGTCGAAAAGTAGGCTCGCTAAAGCGGCGGGTGCGGAGCCATCTGGGGAGATGAGAGATGAAAAATTGCACGCCGTTGTGGCGCGAAGCACATTTGCGAGTGAAAAAGCTAAAAACATCTCGCGTTCGGAGCACTTTTGGGAGTTGCTTTTGGAAGTTGAGATGTTCAAAAAGTGCTTCGCAGTTGTGGCGCGAAGCACGTTTCGAAGTCAAAATGTACAAAACACCTCAGCCTCGGAGCGCTTTTGGAAGTTCGGATGTCAAAGAGGTGCACCATTGTGGCGCGAAGCACATTTCGAAGATATTCGAAGTCAGAATGCCAAAAACACAACACGCCACTTTTGGACGTTGAAGCGTCGTTTTGTGTGGCAGGCGAAAGGGATTCTGCACCCTGCCAAAGTGAGCAAAACGTGACAGTTTTGTAGCATATCCAAAACGATGGCAGGTGTGGGCCATTTGAGGAAGATCTGCAAAGATGGATTTCGCGTTGCGGGCGCAGTACAAGAGACTCCGGAGCCTTTTTTGCGGCAGTGAAGTGAAACGGCGGCAGTGTGAAGTGAAACCCAAACAGGAGACATGTTCATCAGAGATGTTGAGAGGGGTTGCATTTTGGAGCATCAGATCTTCAGGTTCGCTAAGATGATTTTGCGTGACAGGTCCAGCACTTCGTATGACCCGGCTTCAGTTTTTCGTGGCAGGCGCAATATTTTAAACAGATGGAATGGAAAAATCGCAACGCGCATTGGCACGAGGCCGTCAGCTCTGCCTTCAACTTTCCATTTTTGAAAGAAGTCTCGCAGAATTGTTTTTGGTGTTGTCAACTTGAAAATTGAGGAAGTCTCGCAGAATAGCTGCGATTTTGACGTTGTCAAGTTCAAAAATTGAGTAAGTCTCGCAGAATTGCTGCGCTTCTGATGTTGTCAAGTTCAAAAATTGAGGAAGCCTCGCAGAATAGCTTCGTTTTTCAAACTTGTAGTAGATAGACAGATAGATAGAAATATAGACAGACAGATAGATAGATAGATAGATCGATAGATAGATAGATAGACAGCTACAACTACAGCTACAACTGCGACTAAACTAGACTACCACTACAGGTACAAATACAAACATTCTACGCTACAGTACACTAATTACACTACACTAATTACAGTGCACTACACTAGCCACACTACAAGTATAACTACAACTACAAGTACTATTACTACTACAGCTACAGCTACAATTACACTACACTACACTAATTAATTACATTACACTACACTACAATACACTCCACTAGGGTACAACTTCAACTACAACTACACTACATTACACAACAGTACGCTACACTAATTACACTACACTACAACTACAACTGCAACTACACTAAAGTACACTACACTACACTAAGCTACACTAACTACAACTGCAACTGCAACTGCGCTACACTATACTAGGCTACATTACACTAGGCTACACCACAGCACACAGCACTATAGCACACTGCGCCACACTATATTGCATTAAACTACACGGCACCTCACCACAACTACAACTGCAACTGCGCTACACTACTTACACTACAGCTACAACTACATCTGCACTACACCACACTACATCCAGCAGTTGTGGGTGAGGTGACCACTGCAAGCGACCATTCCAATAAAACACAACTCCAAACACCTTTCGGCCCATCAGTGGATTCGCTCTGCCATCCACGCATCACAACAACTCACCTCTCCTGTAGTGTCCTATCTTTGAAACTTCTGCCACCGCCTTGTGCGGCACTACTGGTAGAATACCCTCCAGCAAATTAAGAAACATAGCTACATATGGAAATTCATCGGTTTCCCTCGGAAATTTGTGTATACACAAATGGGGGATTTTCCATATTTGTTGTTTCTTGGTCTTCCAGCATTCCAGGAAAATCCGAGTCAGCTGCTGATGATTTGAAAGAGGCCACTCGAGAATGGTGATACTTGCGCAGCGTGAGGAAGTGCACTTCAGAGAGATATTCATGACCATTCCTATCAAAACCCCGTTTTGATTAAAGACGCGGCTTGCCACATGTAAGGGCCGATCTTTTGGGATACGTACACTTTTGGCAAACCTGATGTTGCAGCCCCAGAGACTGAACACTTCCAGGTCCTGCGATCCTTGCGTGCGTTGGCCAAGCACCAAGCGGAAAGCCATTTGCCATTCTGGACAACTGCTTGACCTGCCAATGCCATCCTGCCTGCCTATGCCGAGGATAGTGTTTTGGCAAGCCAAACTACCTGGCGTGGAGTCGTGATCGACCCACAAATGCCGGTGAATTCCATGTATGGTCCTGGCTTGGTCTTCAGCGTTCTCATGCCCAGTTCCCAGTATCTCCCAGCATCTCTCAGCACCTCCCAGCTGCATCGACTGCTTCCTCCCAGGCATTTGCAGGTGGCATCGCCAACGATGGTTTGTGTTGGTGGTCGAGTGGATCACCTGGTGGGGTCGCCAAATTTCATGTATTGGCAATTGAGAAGTTCCAGCCGGAAGATTGAAACAAAGATGACATGATGACTGGCCGGTAGTCTCGACATGTCTTGACATGTTTCAGATATTTTCAAGTTTTTATATCTTTTCCATCCTACACCCCGCCCCTATTAACATTATTAAATTATTAACTATAACTATGATCCATCATGATCCCCTACCCGGTGTGGTGGTCCCAATTGATGGCTTGCGCATTGAAATCAAGCCCAAAGCCAAAGCTTGCCACAGGCGACAGAGTACATGCGATTGCATGCGCCACAGGGCACAGTGGATGAGGTAGGCTAGATGGTAGCCATCAGTAGCCACAGCAACGGCATGCAACGGCAGAGTGGCAGTGTGGAATAGCTGAAACCATTGAAGGTTGCTGCGCAGCTCTCTCTACCAGGCTTGAATGCAATGAACCATATGGAACACCCGCATGCTGTTTGTGTATCGTGCTTAATTCATCTTGATTATACTTGTAATCCATTCCCCCTAATACTAAACCCCCCACCCCCCGAATAATAAACACCTCGGATAGTTTTTGTTATTAGGGGGTATGTATTATTAGGGCGCGAAGCTTCCCCCTAATACTAAATTTAAAATCCTAATATAAAAACGATTTGTCTATTTCAACATCGATATCCCTTTAAAATCTAATTAAAATATTGCCAAAGCTTGGATTTCGAAACTTTCCCCTGATATTAAATTAAAATAAATTCAAAAACCTTAGTATAAAAAACTATCGTTTCTATTTCAAAATCGATTAGATTTCCTTTCAAAATCTAATTAAGATATTATCAAAAACTGGATTTCCCAGCTGCCCCCCTAATACTGAATTTAAAATCTAATTAAGATATTGCCAAATTTAAAACCCTAATATAAAAAACTAGTTTGTTCTATTTCAAAACCGATTAGATTTCCTGTTAAAATCTAATTAATTAAGATATTGCCAAAAATTGGATTTCGAAGCTTTCCCCTAATATTAAATTAAAAACCTTCATATATTTTTTTTTTCGACCGTAAAAGACGGACCCTAACAAAAAACACCTTGGGGTTGATTTTTTTAATTAGGGGGCGAATCCCTGAAATGACAGTTCATTTTTAAATTGTTTTCTGAAGGGGATCAATTAAAGATCAAATTGGCCAAACTCAATTTTTCCGAAATTGGAGACGGATCCTAGTTTCTATTATTTGGATTTATTTGGAGGAGTTTAGTAATAGGGGGAAGGGATTATTTTGGACCATTTGGTGATACATGTCTGATCATTTTGGGGTACAATTTGCAGCAATTTCATGATTTTGATGCATTTTGATGCCATTTGCAGGTTCTGAGAGCCTGTCCGCAATCTCAGCGGAGCTAGCCATGGACAAGTTGGCCGCAGGGTTGGTTCAACTTGCACAAGTTTCCTCATCACAGGCGACTTAGCATGGGTTGCAAGTGGCAGCTAAATAAATTTAATAAATGCTACAAACCATGAGAAACCACTTCAAACCACTACTTAGTCGCTATTTCCAGGGATTCATGCCCTTCACTATAAGAAACATTTCATTTTAATCCAGGGGAATGATCAATGGAGATGGTAGAGATCATCCCTCCAAGTCCGATGCTGTGACTTTCTCAGGCTGCCAACAACAAGCAGTGGACCTGGATGCTCCGGCAGTGTGTTGCGTCATGAACTGTCATGAACAGTTGGTCAAATGGGGGGTTCCATAGGGGGTATCCCCCTAATGGATGGTTTATAATGGAAATTACCATTAAAATTGATGTTTTGGATTGTTTTGGTGCCTTCGCATTCGACAAAAATTAGACGATTTCTGGAGATTGCTGCCTCATGCTGGGTCCATGCCATCCACATCAACTGTGCTTGGAATGTTGGGCTGAAGCAGCTAGAGGTTTTAAAACATACAGCATACAGCTAAAAATGAGATGGAGGCATGGCATGGGCCATGTGGGCAGCCACACATCAGTTACCTGGCAGCCCGGTTGCATAGCTATTGCTGTCGCCTGGGCTGGTATACATAATGCCAAGCAAAGCTATGACGATGCATGATAAATTAGGATCACTGCAGCATCCCGTCGCTACATGGAACAAGAAGCAACCGTCATTCAAAACCACCATGGAAACATGTGAAAACTCAAAGTGGCACACTTTGCCACCATGCATTTGCTTGACCTGGGCGGTGTGAATCATGCTAGAGTTGCCCTTCGAGCTCTTCGCTCGGGTCATTTTGGCATTGCTGCCCGACGTTGGCGAAAAGATTGCGACTGCATTTCCAAGAGCAGATGAGCAGTCCTGCAGGTGGGGGAGCGGCGGCATTGTGCCAACGGGCAAAGGAGATATAATTGAGAAAGTTGTTCCTATGAAGTTTCCATTGTCACAAAGTGATACAATATACACAAATAAGTTTCCATTGTCACAAAGTGATACAAATATATACAAATTGTGGTTCATTGTGATTTTTTTAAAGGCAGCTTCGGAAATTCGAAACCGATGGCCAGGTTGGGCTTCAAGATGCCTCTCAGCTTGACCAAGCCACTGTGGAGGTTGTCGGTTTTGCTGACAGCTCTGAGGTTGGCTGCCACCACTCAGACATGTGTCCGCAATAAGCGGGCCATCCTTGTTGCTGACCTGTGGGGCAGCCTGGCGGCATTTGGCGCTGCATGACGTTGGTTTGCGCTCAGAATCGTTGGCTTCATAGCTTGCAATCCGAGGAAAGGCAGCTGGCATGGTGCTGTGGCCGCCCAGTGCTATAGTGACTCGCATTTCATGGGACCAGAATCATTTTCGAAAACAGCAAAACTGCGTAAACTCCTGATGTTAGTGAAGACGAAGAGAGAGGAAAGAATCGGCTGTGGTTCATGGCTGTAGTTGATGCTGATAGTGAGAATGTGATGAGGTTGATTCTGCCAATGGCTCTCGCCTTTCGTTGGCGCGACGACTTCAAGCATCAGGTGGTTGTTGCCGAAGCTTGGCTTTGGCCATTTCTTCATATTCCTTCGCACTTCTTCCTTTTTGGGGGTTGCCATAAATTATAATGAATGGGGGATTCCCAAAAGTGGATGGTTTATTAGTATAATGCAAAATCATATTAATTGGATGATTTAGGGGTACCCCTATTTCAGGAAACCACCATTTCTTCATGTTTCTTCATCTTCTTTGGCCACATTATGCCAAATGTTCATACATTTTTGCCAGGGCACCAGCATCCAGCATCGTCGCTACAGGATATCTGAGCATCAACTGCATGGCGCTTCAGCCTGGAGATACTGAGATGAACTGAGATGAAGTGTGCTCCGGAAAGTTCTCTCTCCGCACAACACATGGCCACGGCCACCATGGCCACCATGGCCACCATGGCCCATGGTGTTTAGAGGTGTTTAGCTTTTGAAAACGGATTTAAAGAATTTAAATATAATTTAAAGTGTTTGAAGATGTTTGAAGATGTTTTTGAAGATGTTTGAAGATGTTTAAAGAAGTGCAATGCATGGCAATCTGTCCACGTCCCGCAGTAGCAATACATGTGGTAGATCGCCGTAGGTGCACTAAAGTTGAGGATGTTGAGGGACTGCTTGACTAAGGAGCTTGCTTGGCTCTCAAGATGTTGCTGTGCAGTGGAGATGCTGCACCTGCGTTTGTTCGGGCCAGAGGGCACCAAGAACATGGAGTGGCTGGATGCGTGGTCTCATTCCCTGAAGCGGCTGCTTGACGAATTTAAGGACTCAGTGACTCAGCTTGTTGATTGTCTTCGAAGCTTATACTTAGACCCGTGATGTCCTGTGCACCGTCAATCATTTCGAGAATGATATGTCCAAAATGCGTTGATTGTTGATTGTATAGTTGGTGTGGAAAACCACTGGCTGAGGTTGAGCATTCAGTTCTGGTATGATGACTGCTTGGGCCCACCACCAATCCAGGAAGCACCTCTATTAAATATGGTGGAGGAGGATTAGTGCCGACAAATTCGCAGCAGAGAGTGCTGCTTTGCTTTGCGCATTGACTCCGCTCCTGTCTGTGCTGCTCCACTTCAGCGGTGTTCACTCAGCCATGTACAGCTAATATTGCACAGAACGCAAGCGAAGTGCTCGTACCAGTGATGTGTCATATTCTGGTGGCTACGGGCTCTCTTGAGACGACTTAGTGGCCATACATGGCCATCAGTTGCAGATAGTTGCAGCATTCTAAGGACGTTTTGACGTTTTTTCTTGGCCATCTAAGGTGACGTGTTTGATCTTTCGCTCCTGCACAGCTTTGGAGGCACTGTGGCTAACAGGAGTGGATTGGCCAAAGGCCCGCGCTCAGATTGGAGCAGCTATCAGAGGCGAATTGTTTCTCACCTTCCATTTGCGAATTCAACTACAGATACTACAGCGAGCTGGTTGTTTTTGTTTTTCTTGTTGTGTGGGATGCACAAGGCACAGGCTGCAGATTGATTTTCTTTTGCTTGCGTGCGTATGTGTGCGTGTTGTTGACAGCTCTGTCTTTCCATTCAATCCTTCAAAACGCAACAAAGGCTTGGAGCTGCGAAATCCCTGCGCCGACTGTCTTTGGAGGGCTCACAGCCATGGCCATATGATGAAGCTGGTGTTAAAATAAAGACACATGTTTATCCTAACAGCCAGCTGCGTTTCATGAATGTTTGTATGTTGCAGTCATCTACACGGTCCTTGCATTGCCCTGCATTCCAGCATCATGCTTGATGTCAAGGAGATCAATGTGATCTGTGCTGCTGGGCTGACAGTTGAAGTGAGGCTACTTGCTGATCGCACTCGATGAGGACTACAGGGCCCATGGCAGATTCTGCTGTGCCATTGTGACTCTCATTTGCTCAAAAGTTGGGCATCCTGCACGACAACATGTCGTGGGACATCCTGACGCACGACGAGGGCCCTAAATTTAAGGGACCTCTCTCTTCGAAGCCTTGTCAAGGCAAAAGCGTGTGCAGCTCATTTCCCATCATCCATCATCGAGAAGCTCTTGTTTCAAATTCCCGCTCCAGCAATGATGCGGTGTCGCCTTTCATGTAATGTCCTCTGCTTAGGCGTGGGAAGAGCCAAGCACTTGCCACCGGCTTGGTGTTTGATGTGTGGAAGTTCCTGCATTTTGCATCATGTTGCCTCATTTTGCATCATTCTCCTGGACATTTGCGGTGCATCCCAAGTTACATGAAACTCCTAAAACTGCCGTTTGGTTCAGCTGAATGCCAGTAAGCTGGGTCTTCAAGCTATGCGTTTTCGCCGGATCCTTCGAGCTTTTGCATCCGCTGCCTGGAGAGGAAACTCTTCACGAGACTTTCGGCAGAAGGTTGGCATTTGCCTCTGCCAGTGGTTTCCACATTTTCCACCCCACAGAAACTGGATGAAACTGGCCTATGGTGACTAATATGGCGCAACTATCTCTGAAAATGGTTGTAATGCATCCAAGAGTGTAGATCACTATCTTGTGATCAAGTCATACTTGTACCAGTTGACACGATTTGGTCAAAAGATGCGAAAGAGATCCAGACTGCACCCAAGCTGGGACAAAGTGATTACATAACCGGGCAAGCAGACACAGTGTGATGTAATGTCCAAGGCTAAGGCCAGGTTATGGAAGAAATAGCTGAAATTGCCAGTCCTGTGGATAGACCATGATAGATCCAGATCATAGTCTCAAAGTGAACAGCACCACCAATCTCACACTCAGCGGCTTGGAGCTGGATGCCCTGAATAGGACCGAAGATGGTTGGTTGCAGCGCTTCCATTTTCGTTGGGCAGTGCAGGGCTGCTGCTGCACTCTTGTGGTGACGTAGTCATGTGTGCTTTGGCATGGAAAATGGTAAAAGTATATGTAAGTATGTAGATTGTAGAAGCGAAGGCGGGGGAGATATAGAAAGTTCGTTTTGGCAAATACTAAAACTTGTAAAACATAGGTCCAACCTCAGACTCTTGAGCTACGTTTTTGGCAAAGCAGGTTTACCCAGCGTTGGCAAAAAACTTTGATGATGTGGCTCTCCTTAGAGAATCGTGACAGAAACATTGGCTGAGGTGACAAAAGGCCAAAGAAAGTTGCCTTGGTGACAGGGAGTTCGTCCGGTATCGGCAAGGCCTCAATCATCATCTAAATCTGAATTTTCAGTATGATGTATATAATACACTTATTCATTATTATTATTAATAATAATATATATTATATTATCTCTTATTCCAACTGTTGGTTCATTGCATTACTGAAAAACGTTGATGATGGAGGACGGCTCTGATGGCTACCTTGGCACCTTTCACTCTTTTATGTCTCTCTTAATGTTCCTCCAATTCTCTTTTGGTCATACTCTCAGACATTTGTAAAGGTTCGTTCCGGGTAGTGGTAGTGACTCTGACTCTGGTTTCACCAAGGCCTATCAGGTTGGAACCGGGGGTCCAAATCTTCCTGTCATTCCCCATGGTGTCATGGCAGCAATTGACAGGCGATTGCCGAGAGATTGTCCGGCGAGGGCTATCAGGTGGTGGTCAACAGTCGGGCTCACAGACTGGGCCCTTTGAAATGCCAAGAGGTGTGGTGTTTCAGTGGCAGCTCTAGTGGCACTTATTGACTTATACCCAGCTGACCCCTCCCTGTGGCACATTTTAAATGGAACATATTTAGCTGAACTGTTTGAGGCCACGCCTCTGTGCAAGAAGGAAAGGCAGTGGCGGCATCGCTGCCGGATGGGTTGTACATCCAGGGAGACTGCAGTACCCGAGAAGGCTGCGAAGGATTGGTCAAGGAGGTCGCTGAGCGGTGCGGACAGCTGGATATCTTGGTATGCCACTCACATCGCATTCACTGCCAGTGCCCAACATATCCAACATCCTGTGCAAGACGAAACGGTGGGTAATCCATAGGAATCCATGGTAATCAATGGTAATCCATGGTAATCCGTAATCCACTCATGATTGAATGGTATTGAACACGTGGCATTGAGGCAATGCTGGCGTCGGGAAAGTGATTCCACATGACAAACTCGAACTGATTGATGATGAGTCTGTCGCTTAGTTGTCACAGTTTGTTGATACTTTTTGCGGTGTGTTTGTGGCGTGTTGGGCTTGCATCAAGGAAAGATCAGGTGACGGTGTAGGATGCATGATCAGGACGGTGCTCATCTATTCAGCCACTGGCCCAAGACAGTCAAGCTGCAGTGAGCCATGCGTGGTTCAGTGCCAGTGGTGCCAGCACCAGATTCACCAAAGACCCTGGAACCAAGAAAGCCACTGGGCAGCCCGGCCGACGTCGAAGAAGGTGAGCTGGGGCCCTCGAGTGGAAAGAGCAAGGCTTCAAGTGCAAAGAGTTTGACCTCTAAGAATTCAGTAAATGCAGTGCGCTTGGGAGGCTTGCAGCACTCTAGTGAGGAAAGCGGCGATGAAAGCTGTCAGCGTTTGCTCCGGAAGCTGTCGGCCATGAAGGCTACTTGGGTCCTGGTCACACTGGTGGTGATCATTTTGTGTGGTGCTTTGGCTGGTCCTGTAATATGCAAGGAGTCAGCCAAGTGCACGGAAGATCATCTAAAGGACCAAGATTTGCGGTTCTATAGTGCCTTGATTGCAGCCGCCCTTGCGTCCGTCCTGATGCAGGAATTGGCATCTGTGATCCTTACCAATCAAGCAGCTAGTAGAGCAGTTGAACTAATCCCTGATGTCAAGGATTCCTTGATTCCGTCAATGCTGCTGTGTACCACGTTTATCGTGCTCCTTGTGGAAAACTTGGCCTTTGTGATTGGGGAGGTCCCATGGTATGTGCACGCGGCAAACCTGGGCAGGGAAGATCTTGATGGACAACCGGTATACAGCGTTTTCTACGCTGAATGGGTCATCAACGTGCCGATTCTTCTGATTTTGGCAGGTTCCATCTCCTTGGGACGGCCACCTTCTGAAGTTGGACAGCCCCTGCTCATCACCAATGTGTACATTGTCCTGGCTTGGGTGGCAAATTTCATTCCCAATGTGCCACTTCGATACACTGTTGTGGCAGTGCTTTGCTGGACTTGGCATATCTTTTTGATTCTTTTTGCCAAAAAAAGGTATATAGCATATAGGATATTAATGTTGGCTACTGATTAGTGTGAGGCCCCTCCCCCTCAAACAATTTGAGTATACTGAATAACTCGCAGTTTTTGGCGCCCCCCCTCAACAATTTTTAGGATAGTCAACTTAAGTAAGGATTTCAACTGACATCAATCTACTTTCAATTGATTTTCCTTTTAAACGTCAAAAACAGCTCTTGATAAGAAAGGATTTCAATTGAAATCAATTTATATACTTTCAATTCATTTGAATCTACTTTCAGTTGATTTTCCTTTTAAGCATAATTACTTTACTTCGTGTGATCCCCACCATGACATTTATACATTTTCTTACTGGCAAATCTTCTGGCATTCTATCTGACATATCTTCTGACATTCTATTTGGCATTCTATCTGGCGTATCTTCTGGCATATCTTCTGGCATTCTATCTGGCATATCTTCTGGCATTCTATCTGACATATCTTCTGGCATTCTATCTGGCATTCTATCTGGCATATATTCTGACATATCTTCTGGCATTCTATCTGGCATTCTTTCTGGCATTCTATCTGGCATATCTTCTGGCATATCTATCTGGCATATTTTCTGGCATTCTATCTGGTAAATCTTCTGGCATTCTATCTGACATTCTATCTGGCATATCTTCTGGCATATATTCTGGCAAATCTTCTGGGATTCTATCTGGCATATTTTGTGGCATTCTATCTGACATTTTATCTGGCATATGTTCTGGCATACCTTCTGGCATTCTATCTGGCATATCTTCTGGCATTCTATCTGGTATATCTTCTGATACCTTCTGGCATTCTATCTGGCATATCTTCTGGGATTCTATCTGGCATATCTCATGGCATTTTATCTGGCATATCTTCTGACATTCTATCTGGCATATCTTCTGACATTCTTTCCGGCATATCTTCTGACATTCTGTCTGGCATATCTTCTGACATTCTTTCTGACATTCTTTCTGGCATTCTATCTGGCATATCTTCTGACATAATATCTGACATCTTTTCTGACATTCTTCCCGTTGAGGTCCGGCAGTGCCCACTGCGATCTGGAAGTCGCGGTTGAGGTCCGGCAGTGCCCACTGCGATCTGGAAGTCGCAGTTGAGGTCCGGCAGTGCCCACTGGGATCTGGAGCTCGCGGTTGAGGTCCGGCAGTGCCCACTGGGATCTGGAGCTCGCGGTTGATGTCCGGCAGTGCCCACTGGGATCTGGAAGTCGCGGTTGGGGTCCGGCAGTGCCCACTGCGATCTGCAACTCGCGGTCGAGGTCCGGCAGTGCCCACTGGGATCTGGAGCTCGCGGTGGAGGTCCGGCTGTGCCCACTGGGATCTGGACTGCGAGGAGGAGGCGGCGGGTGAGGAGGCGGAGGAGGAGGAGGAGAAGAGCTCTGTTAAAATCTAGCAACCCTCACCTGGCAAGTGGGGAAAAAAAATCTTGATAAGAAAGGATTTCAAATAATCGGAATCCATTTACTTTCAATTCATTTGAATCTACGTTCAATTGATTTTCCTTTTAAACCTCAAAACATTTCTCTTGACAAGAAAGGATTTCAATTGAAATCAATTTACTGCCAATTCATTTGAATCTACGTTCAATCGATTTTCCTTTTAAACCACAAAGAAATCTATTGGTAAGAAAGGGATTTCAATTGCAATCAATTTACTGTCAATTCATTTGAATCATTTTGAATCTATTTTCAACTGATTTTCCTTTCAAATCAAAAAAAGCAGCGCCCAAAAAGTTGTTGCGCACAATAGGGTACCATCGAAACAATTACATTATTGAGGATCTCGGTCACTCATGGGGTACCCCCTTCAAAAATTGTTTGAGCGCTGTTTTTCAATAAGGCTTTCGTAAGGCATCTAATTTTTTGGGGAATCCTTGCGTTTTCAAGGCTTGGACATGGATATGGCTTTTTAAAGTAAATGGACCAGCTTTACCCAAAGAAAGGCGGAGAAAGGGTCTTGCGTTTTTTTTTCACCCCAAAGGTTGTTGTGCACAATAGGGTACCATCGAAACAATTACATTATTGAGGATCTCGGTCACTCATGGGGTACCCCCTTGAAAAATTGTTTGAGCGCATTTGAGCGCTGTTTTTTAACAAGGCTTTAATAAGGCATCTAATTATTTGGAAAACCTTGCATTTTCAAGGCTTGGACATGGATATGGCTTTCTAAAGTAAATGGGCCAGCTTTACCCAAAGAAAGGTGGAGAACGGGTTTTGTTTTTTTTCACTCCCACAAGTTGTTGTGCACACTTGAAAAATTGTTGTGGGTGCTTTTTTGACATAAGGGTTTAATAAGGCATCTAATTATTTGGAAAACCTTGCATTTCAAGGCTTTGACATGGATATGGCTTTCTAAAGTAAAGGACCAGCTTTACCCAAAGAAAGCTGGAGAAAGGGTTTTGTTTTTTTTTTCAACCCCAAAAGTTGGTGTGCACAATAGAGTACCATCCAAACAATTATAGTATTGAGGATCTGAGCCACTCATGAGGTACCTCCTTGAAAAATTGTTTGGGTGCTGCTTTTTAAATAAGGGTTTAATAAGGCATCTATAATTATTTGGGAAAAACATCAGAAAAATGGATCTAAGAAAGCAAATTCTAAACAAGAAAGGAAACAATAAAATAATTACTTTCCTTCGTGTGATCCCCACCATGACATTTATACATTTTCTTACTGGCAAATCTTCTGGCATTCTATCTGACATATCTTCTGACATTCTATTTGGCATTCTATCTGGCGTATCTTCTGGCATATGTTCTGGCATATCTTCTGGCATTCTATCTGGCAAATCTTCTGGCACTCTATCTGGCATATCTTCTGGCATTCTATCTGACATATCTTCTGGCATTCTATCTGGCATATCTTCTGGCATATATTCTGACATATCTTCTGACATTCTATCTGGCATTCTATCTGGCATATCTTCTGGCATATTTTCTGGCATTCTATCTGGCATATATTCTGACATATCTTCTGGCATTCTATCTGGCATTCTATCTGGCATTCTATCTGGCATATCTTCTGGCATATCTATCTGGCATATTTTCTGGCATTCTATCTGGCAAATCTTCTGGCATTCTATCTGACATTCTATCTGGCATATCTTCTGGCATATATTCTGGCAAATCTTCTGGGATTCTATCTGGCATATTTTGTGGCATTCTATCTGACATTTTATCTGGCATATGTTCTGGCATGCCTTCTGGCATTCTATCTGGCATATCTTCTGGCATTCTATCTGGTATATCTTCTGGCATTCTATCTGGCATATCTTCTGGCATTCTATCTGGCATATCTCATGGCATTTTATCTGGCATATCTTCTGACATTATTTCTGGCATATCTTCTGACATTCTGTCTGGCATATCTTCTGACATTCTTTCTGGCATTCTTTCTGGCATTCTATCTGGCATATCTTCTGACATTCTATCTGACATCTTTTCTGACATTCTTCCCGTTGAGGTCCGGCAGTGCCCA